TCCAATGACCATTATTTAGAAAAAAAAAAAAAAAAAAAAAAAAAAAACAAAACAACCCTGAAAAGTATTGATAATAGCTAGATTGAAGTTTAAGGAAAGAGTAACGCTATTTAAACAACGCATATATACACACACACACACCCATCAGAATTTATTTATCACTTTTCTTTCCATTTCATTATAAGCAAATTTTTTTTCATTTTATAAGGCAATTTTCATAAGAAAATTAAGGATAAAAAGATATAACCAAAATGACCAACAGAGTAATCATCAAGTAGAGATTTAAAAAAATAAAAAAAACACACACACACACACCAGAGTCTTCAATGAAAAGCACCATCACCGTATCATGTCCTTTTGGGCAGAATTAAAATAGGCACAGAGAATTGAACGTTATGGCCCCTCAAGTTCAAAAAAACCCGAGGCACTGTGGTAATTTTAGCAAACTATGAGGGCTTTAATCAACTCATCGATCCTTAGTCACACTTAATAAGGGTGTCATTAGTCCCCAACGAGCAATCTAACATACTTTATATGTTCAGTTATACGTAGTATAATTTTTTGAAAGATGTATTTTTAAATAATTGTCTTTTATAAATTTTTAAAAATAATTGTTTGCTGCTGTTTTTTTTTTTTTTTTCACAAAAGGAAATAAATAAAAAATCCTTAAAAATACACTAGGCCCCCAACGTTCAACATAAGCCTACACGAGAAGCTAGTGAATTTTCTTGTGGGGGCCTACTGAAAATGAAGGTAATGATTTCTTTGTATGGTGGTTGCAATATCTGCAATTGGAATGGGACCATTTGAATAAAAGGAGTAGATGTAATAAGTAACATAAATAGCTAAGAAGAATATATATGAAGAGTTGAGGGGGACCAATTTGGTTATTGTGTGAGAATTGATGTCACTTTTCTCTTTCCCCCTCCTAACAAAGGTTTCAATGGGACCCTACATGCCAACAAGTACTTGTTGTAATGACACCATTGATTTTTTCAAAAGGGTTACGCGTTTGGTCACATGCACAATACGCAATTGGAATCACACAGATCAAGTGGTGTGAAATGAAAGGTGATTATTTTTAGGGTAAGGTCAAATGCCATTAATTATGGATAGGGTTAGATGATAAGTATAAGAAGAATGATTTATATGCAAAGCTTAATTACTAGGTATATCTTGTTAGAAATAAAAATAAATAAAAATATATGAAGTATATTAAATGAAGTTTGTATATATGTAAGAAAAGATTTGGAGCAGGTGAGTGATGATCAAGTCAATTATATATAGTAGCTAGGTAAATGAAGATATACATCGTAATTGGTTAGGTGTAAGTGTGTAAACCCTAATTTGTAGGTAAGAAATATTATAATACTTTTATAATCTAACACGTCTAATATAAGGTCATACTATCGTGTAAGGAATCTGCTCTTATCTATCGATCTAACATGGGACAAGAATTTTTTAATTTTTTTTTGTCAGAACTTGGAACATCCTTGTTGCAATCCGACTACTATGCCTACCCGTTCCTCTTATAGGTGGACCCTAGCTTAATAAGGATTAAGGACTTGGTCTTTGTAGCGAGTTCCGCGCTTGCCTTCAAACCCTTTATATGCTCAAGACCTTTCTTATTTGTATACGACGTGGACAAGAACTCTCTCAAAGTAAGTCAATATTCTTAAGAATTTGATATTTTTACTTTATAGATAAAACATTTATGGCTTACTTGGTTCAATGTTTTGGAGAATGAAGTTGTTTTTTTTTAGAATAGTTTTCTGATTTCTAATAACTAAAAATTAAAAAATTATACCAAAATCTACTTGGTTAACGATTTCCGAAAATTGATTTTTGAAAACGTTAAAAAATATCTACTTTCATATAATTGGATTTTCTACTTAGTTCAACTTTTTAAAAATTCTATGAGGGACGAACCAAACAAGCCTTTAAGATCTTAATTCAATTACTTGAAAATATACATACATACATACATACATGTATATATATATATATATGTATGTATGTATGTATGCCCCTTCTGGTGGGAAAACAGCCGCTTGAGGTGGTCCTTGGCCCGACCACTTGATTCTCTTTGTTATGAAACAGAGGATGACTGCATACCAACAGACACATGGGTGAGACCAAGTCCAATCGACCTTCCCCTACATTTGGGCTCCATTTATACAATAATCATGATGTAATTAGAGTAGTTGAACTATATTTAAATGAATTACCGACTAAACACTGAAGTTTGTTTTGGAGATGTGTTTTAGACCCATAAAACCATTATGCAATTCCATATAAACAACCATATTAGGATATATTGGAGTGGGGAACTTCTCCCAACCTAGCTTGAGGTCACCATTACATCAATGGCATTGTGAATTTACACTTTTGGCCTCCCTCATTGCTTTTTATGATCAAATATAATCTGATTAATTAAGAGCATAGCAGTTTCATAATTGTGCCAAATTGATCAAAAGCTTAAATAAGGGAGTTAAATGATGTTGATGTCGAACTTTTACAAGCACGTTAAGCCAACAATGTCCTCCTGTCACGTTGCTCCAATGACATGGTCTCAAGATTATTACCTTAAGATTTCAAGTTGGAGTCTAGGTTTAAGAGGTATTTGTGATTTGTGAGTAATTGTGTATATCCATGGTTTACGTTTTAATAACATATCCAAAGAACGTCTAAATCGTTTACGAAAGAACAAATATTATTTTTCATCCAAAAAGTAGAGTAAACTTGAATCCACAAAATTGAAGAAAACTTGCAAATTTTTTAAAATATTATTAATAATTGAATGAGTCACTCTGTAATACATGTATTTATAAATGAAAACCCTAATAGTATAAAAAACCCTAAAAATAAATAAAAGTAAACTAACAGTATAAGGAAACGGTTCAAAATCAACCGTTCTCCAGAAGAAAAAATAATAATAAATAAATAAATAAATAGAGTAAGAAACCTAATTGGTACTAAATATTAAAAAGGAAACAAATTCGAATCCGTTCAGACTTGTACGAAAATCATGAAATATTCAAAATTGGAGAAATTCAATTCCCGAGCATTAAACGATTGAAATTGGTCGAAAGACATCCTAACTCAGCAACAAAACTATTAATTTTTGCCAGTTAAGTCATTTCCGATCAAACTGGGCTCTTTGCAAGTCAAAATGGAATCACCTATTTAGTCTTTTGACGGTCCAAACAGACTCAAAACTCATCAGCAATCTGTTCTACATAAATTTGATTGGAACAATTTCGCAAAAAACAAAGAAAGAAAGTACTGTTTTCAAAAATAATATAGATGCCCATGGCATCGCCTTCTTCTAAACATTCTCATGTTCCTCACAAACTCACCATTACCCTCTCAAAATGTTAAAACAAAACTTGGACAACAAGTGTGATGATAATTAAGGTACCAGACGTATAGAATCAATTTTTTTCTCAAATACAAACTTGTCATTTGTTTATAAGAGATTTAATCCATTAATTGTTAAGACCATCTTTGTTTCATTTAAGTTTTTCTTGCATAGATTAGTGAAAATTAATGAGGAGACATGGTCACTTGGCTAAAGATCTTGCTCATTCCCATGGTGATATGGTGAGAGAGGCTAGTCGTGGGTAATGGACCAGTGGGTTCTAAATGCACATGACATATAGAGAGACACAATGATGTATTAGGCATGTTGTACATGCACTTGTATTATCCATCTCTCTCCCCCCCTATCCTCTCACAACTCACAACAAACAATGTATGGAAGCCCTAACTCCACGCTGGGACACTGCCCTCCTCTTTTAAGGAATGCTACCCACTTTCCTCACCCGGCCCATGTGTCCATTGTCAACTACCAAATACACCCCTACACCGTGCACCTCAAAAGACCGTCTTACCCTTTTTTACATTGAGCTATTCGATAAAACCATGGAGGGTGTCTTGGTAATTTTCTCACAATATGTTGTAAATTAAGGCGATAGATGATGGAGGACGTCTGTATGAAAGATATTGACAGTAGAATGTTAAGAATCTTGAAAGAGGCCCTTGGCACATGGTCTCACGGTTCATTTTTATGTGAGGTCAGTGCATGTTTGTCTCTGTGGGACCTATTCTTGATAGTTACCACATATACGTACTCAGGTCGTACCATTTCCCACTTGCTCTCTGTTGATTACTATTGGATACAAAATTTCCAGAATGCCAATCTAATCCTTGTTTGTTACAGAGTTGGTAAACATTATCTAATTGTCCTTCTGGTTATTTTTATATAACCTTGATGAATTCTAGTGAGTTTGAGTCGTTTGGCAGGGGAAAAGCGTGGAGGGAAATGGGGGAGAGAAAGGGAAAGGACAGAGGAACTTCCCCCTATTTGATAGAGGGGAGGAGCTCTCCTTGCTAGTTGCTACATACAAAAATGCAATCTCTCGGAAAGTGAATGAAAAGAGATATCTTCTCTCCTTTTTTCCGACTATTTGCTTTACAAAAAAAAATGTGACCTTTTCACTGTTCTTTTATCGTATCTACTTTCCTTTTCATTTAATTTATCTTTTGTATCAAATAAGATGTTGAGGAAATGAGTCTAAATTCTCTACTGTTACAACACTTACGTAAAAGTGATTCAAATTGTCCAACTTTTATATCATGTGTGTTATAATAGGAGAGGATCCAGACTCTAAAAAAATACCTAAGATATGATGTTTCTCATATTGTCGTAATGATCATAAAATTAAAATAATAAACTTAACGTACCCCATGAAAGTGATAATCTCGGTGAAATAAGGCATTGCAGTATTACTATGGTTATGGTAGTTGGTGAATCATGCCAACCTTCTTGACATCTGAACTCTGGAGTGGTTGGTTATGATGTTGTTAAGCCCATAATTATTCTCACTAGTGTATTTTGTTTATACATCACATAAGGGTATAATTGTAATTTTGTAAGGTAATCCATCAAAGATGGTTTTGAAGAAACACACAGTAGAGAGAGAGACAGCACTGAATCATATCCAATAACCATAATAACTACCATTTATGAAATCCAAGGTGCAGCAAGGAAATGGAAACATAGAAATCAATAGTGATTCTAGAGAGAGAAAAAAAAGAGAGACAGACAGACAGAGTTCCAACAGAGAGCTTTAAGCATTCAAGAAATAGCCACCCAAAGTGGCCCCCAACTTGGCATCCCTTTGCTCCCACTCCCACTTTCCTTGCACCTGCTTGGTCTTGGAAGCTCTCCAACCTCATTTTCACTCCCACTCTTACCTCCTATGCCCTCACTCCAGTAATCACCATCACCACCATCCTCATCATCATCATGACCATCATCATCATCATCATCATCATCATCATCACCATCATCATCACCATCAAAATATTCTTCTTCGCCATCAGCTTCAGCTTCAGCTTCATCTTCATGAACCCTGTCATGTTCTTCAACAACAACAACTTCATCACTTCCTACTTCTTCTTCTTCTTCTTCTTCCTCACTGTCCACACAGCACTCCTTCAACAAAGAGATCCTAAGCCGGCCATCGACACGCTCAGCTTGGAAGTAGCTGCTACAAGAAGAGACAGCTACAGCTTTTATAACCAACCGGCCACCTTCGCGGTGAGGCCTCACTTGAACACTGTCTGAGCCACTAATGGAGCTCAGGGGAGGCGGAAAACTGCCTCTGCGATTCAATTTCTTCGCGAATTGCCGGGATTTTAATCTCTGTATGGCACGGAACTTCTGGCTCTCCGACGAGAAAGAAGTGAATTCATCGCTGCTTTCGCTAATGTCACTACCAGTTTCACTTCCCAAACTTTCAGTGCACATTTCCAAGCTTTTGTTGCTTAGCATTGAGGAAGAGCGCTTTACGAGAGGGTGGACATAGACTTTCTCACTCTCAGTCACTTCTTTGCAGTTGGGAGATGTGTTGGTGAGAGCTTGTATGAAGCTCCACCCACCCAAATCACCATTGCTGCTGTTTTTGCTGTCACCATCACCACAACCACTGTTGTTGTCGCAGTTTTTGCTTTGGTCGTTTTTGATTTCATTGGTTTTGTTTTTGTTATCGTCATTTTCGTGATTGGGGGTCTCTTGGGGTTCTGGCTGTAGCTGCATGGAAGAAGGCATCTGAGGCCATGAAAAGGATTGGGAAGAGTTTGATTTGGGTGGTGACAATTTGTGCCTCAGAACTAGTGGTTCAACAAGCCGAGGCTCGAGACAAGATTGCAACCCTTGACACACCACACTTGAGGACATATTGTCAATGGTGAATGAGATGTTGATAAAACAGGGTAGAAACAGAGCAGAAACAGAGGAATTTGGTCTTACGCTCGAATAAAACAGAGTAGAAGAAACAAAGCAGAAACAGGGGAAAAACAGAGGAGTTTGGTTCTTATACTCAAATGCTAGAATTTTGGAGCTTGAATGGATCAGAAGTGAGTGATGAAGATGAAAATGAAAATTAGAGGAAAACCCACTGTTTGGTTTCTAGAGAGAGAGAGAGAAAGAGGGAGAGAGGAAGTTGGAGAGGAAAGAAAGGAGGGAACATGAAAGAGAGGTGAATGTGAGGGTGAATATATAGGTGGAAAAAAGTGTTCACGGAGGGGACCCTGTTGTGGTGACTAGAGAGAGTGGAGCTTTTTATTCCACTAGAAATATTCAGCTTTTGCCCTGCCACACATTATAGTAAGCAATAGAAACAAAGGAAAAGGTTTACAAAAAAATTTGATAATTTTAAAGATTTTAGAAGTGGGAAATGTTTATTTATTTTTTTTATTGTTTAAAGGAGTTGATGGGCTTGTTCTGAATCTCTTAATTTTATTGGTCCATTGGGAATACTTTATAAAATGATATTTAAAAAAGAAGCTTTCCATAGGTATTTCCCTTTTTCATCCAAAAGGGCTCCAACAGAAGAACAAAAACAAAGTATTCTTTATGGTATTGTATTCATTGATAGGGATTGCTATTTGCTTCCTCAATTGTTGCTTTATATTTGTCCCTGTTTATTTTACAGTTGAGTGACGTCCTAGGTCAAAACCTAAGTTGAGAGACTAGGACGTTAAAGCCCTCGGCTAATTCACACAGTGACACACACACATTAAGCACCCCCAAATTAAAGCGACTATTCAAGAATCAAGAATCTTGGAATTCTTCTAAATATTCTATTTATATGTCATTAGCTACTGATAATCTTTTGACGATATATTGTAGACAACGACATCTTAAAACTCCTGTAAATTATGTTTAACAACTCTAAGGAATAACTTAATAACAAAGATTCACACATGATTACTTAGAGACTGAGAGTTTGAATTCTCCTGAAGTCAACTCCAAAGAATTTTTTTCGGGATTAATATTTTAAATAGATAATTTAGGTCTTTGAATTTGGAGTATTATGTGGTCACACTCTTTACTAAGACTGGAAGAACTGTGCTGATAGACTTTACTCATTATCAAACCACTACTTGGTTGCCTCACTCAAATATAAAATCACTTAATGACCCTCTTCTTCAACTAAACTTTATGTATGATTATATTAATTAACCAATACTAGCGTAGGATGTATGTCAACTCTTATAATAAGATGGGAAGACAGCATTTTTAATAATGGCAATCAACTGAACTTGCTAGTTTTTTTTTTAATTAACCCGACCGACTAAATGATACCAACTCATTAATGTAATATATCTATATGTGTGTGTATGTATGTAAATGGAGGTCCAACTACCTTTGATTTCTTACTATATAACCAAAAAAAATATTACTTTACACACCAATTTTTTCATAAAGCTATTGTTTTTTATAGAGATGAGGAAACCAACATCACTCTGCTTTTTGGCTACCGCCTCCATGTTTATCACTCATTTTGGTTTCATTTTATATATATATATATATAAAGATTGTACGGACAATGTGTGAGTAGATAATGCTTGTATAAGGAGGACAATGTGTGAGTACATAATGCTTGTATAAGGATGTGTTCAGATAATGTTTTTCAGGAAATGAGAAATTATTACATGGTCCCCGATCAATCACGTACTCGCAACGGAACAAATGTGTTTAGGAACACAACTCTCTCTCTCATATTATTGTTTTGATCTTTTGCCATTTGATAAACATTTTGAGTACACCTTATTTGGTGCTTCAGTTCTTAAGTTAGTGAGACTGTTCACAAGTCACACAATATGCTGCTAGTTTCAGGAGTTGGGATTCAATGCTGTACAGCAGTACATCAGCAAATTTAATGGTGTTTGAGGTTATAGGGTTATAGCCCTGAAAATGAAACATGATAGGTCTTTGTCAATTTTTCTTTTGGTGGAACGGAAACTTTAATGACCAATTGGCAGAGAAGGTATTTAATGTGTCCGGTGTAAGGTGCGTCAGGCACTCTAAATATGTTCTTCCATCATTGACCATTCTTATTGCTAGAATTTGAATGAATTACCCAATAATAACTACAAGCCACGGTGGTGTAGGTCATATGCCCTGCACAATTCTGTTTAACGAAGACAAATGCCTCATTAAGCCTACAAAAGCCTTCTCAAAGACCATTTTAAACCATAAGTCCTGATAGGGACTTCCGCAAGGTCATGTGGGTTCCAACGCTACACCGAATTAGTATCTCCCATTTAGAGGGTTGTAGGCTCCATCACTGCACAATAGTTCACCCCAACCCCAACCCCAACCCCAACCCCACTCTTAAAAGATAGAATTGAAAGCGATGCCTTTCAGAATTAGTTTAGAGCAAAAAATATCTAATTTTAGAGAATCGTCGTTTGTAGAAAATTCCATAGTTCTCTCAAAAGCATTTTTAGAAAACTGAAGGAAAACAAGTCTTCAATCTGTTATTAAGATAGAATTGAAAGTGATGTCTTTCAAAATTAGTTTGGAGAGAAAATATCTGATTTTAGAAAATCGTCATTTGTAGAGAATTCAATAGTTCTCTCAAAAGCGTTTTTAGAAAACTGTCAAAGAGGGTTAATCATAGACACTTTAGAGAAAAATCAGTCAATAACCCTAGTAACTAGTAAAGTATTTCTCAAAGGCTAGGTCTAAAAGCATTTAACATTGAACAATACAGTAAATTTTGGTGATTCTTCACATTTTTTTATTCCAGGTACAAAAAGCCTAGTCTGCTACCAAGGCCAACAAGAATATGTACCCCTAAAACTCTCTTTAAAACCCTAACCACCAAAATTGCTCTCACTATCCACCTCTTGATCCCTTGCTTTTTTGTTACGTTGGCCGACCAAACCCTTTTTAATTTGAAAAATAAAAAAATTTAAAAACCGTGTCATCGCCTTCGATTCCGATGAAATTCACTGATTTTTTTATTTTAATTTTTCCATCTACTTTACAAGTTTAATTATACATTATTATTAGTATCTTAAGGGCTTCACTAGAACGAAGAGAGGCCATTCATGGCTTACACAAGCATGTCAACAATGCGCACTCTAATGCAACCTTTTTGACCATGTTAGTGACACCTTTTTGGTTCTTTGTGATTCTTTTACCTTAGAAAACAAAGGAAAGAAAAAAGACCCTACCATATAAAGCAATCAAACATGTCAAGAAACTATGTTTTGCTTGATTAAATTATGAAGAAAAATAATAATAATAATTTGATTATATAAAACCAATACATTGAGCATGAGACAAACTTTATGGACGGCACAGAAACATAATGGTTGATGACTTGAAGGGCTAACTTTACATATAACCACACATTAATGGAATCTCAACCGTCAGACAATATTATTACTGTCATTATAATTATTATTATAATAATTATTATTACCACTAATGTTTGTTATGGTAGAGTAGGCATCAAAGTCAAATGTTGAGGTTTTCCATTTCTATACTAACATGTAATTTTGGCAAAGGAGTAGGAATTTTATAGGGACAATCATTCTTGACTTTTGCCTTTGATCTTATATGCAATGCATGTTGATTTGTGGTAAATGTCTAAGTGAGGAGCATAGTAATGGAATTGCACAGTTTGGCAACCATGTGATTTTGAAAGAACATTGTGAGAAAGACCCTTCACTCTACTGCAACTATTTTAAAATTTTATAAATAAATTATAATTTCCCCCAACTTATATTAAAAATCAAGGTAAAGAAAGAAACTTGTATTCTCACAAAAAATGACACATTCCGAGAATGCCAACGATGGTTGTGTGAGTGAAGTTTTAGACCGTCACCCTAACATCATATAATGGGACCCACACCCCACTCACATATTCTCTATTCTGCATTTCCGAATACCTATCATTACTACATTCTCATTCATGAACCACTTATGCAGGAACTGACCAAAGTATTTGATACAACTAAAGAGATTTCAGTAGCTAAGCTAAAATTTAGCAAGCAACTGTTGAGACCATCATCAATACTGAAAGAAAGATAAGAAACATACTTAGCTTTGACAATATTTTTGTATAAAATAGTTATTTCACCTCTCTCTCAAGCTTGTTAACCAGAATACTGAATGGCCTTTGGAAATGAAATACATCTATGAATCTCAATTCCAACCTTTATAGATTGTAAGATGCATTAGTTCTACTAGATAATAAAGCACACAAAATTATTATATGTCAATAACATATTGATGAGACATAGCAGGATAAATTCTCTGGAAAAGGGAGGCATTGCACAAATGCTCGAGCACATTCAACAGCTGCTCTTCATGCACAACCCTTATTATACATAAAGAATAAAAATAAATATCATAATCACTATGCTGGTACAACATCTGACCTTCCTATTGCAACAATTGCTGAAGAACGAACACCAAAAATGATAGTATTAAGTGATATACTATCATGATACGTGGAGATTTTGGATTTCGATCTGCAATGCTTCAAGTTTTTTCTCGATATTTGTTAATTCATCTTGAGTGTCCAAAAGTTTGTCTAGCCTTTGTTGTGCTATATCCAGATATGGCTTACCTATAAGTTCTACAAAGTTCTCCAGATTCTCGATTGACTCCCCGAGATCCTTCTGCATTGCCTCTTCAAGCTCACGTGACAGGGCATCAACGGTCCTTTTCACTTTATCCACCATCTTTTGCCTACGGGCTGGGAAATTCGAAACTGCTAATAAACTGTCAATAAGATTATAGGTTTTGTCAGGTATATACAGTAGTGAAATGATATAATTCTTTGAATGTGGAATCACGGACGTATTAGATGAGGGGGAACAAAAGTTCAATTAGCTCAAGTATGGAATTACTAATACGAAATGTTGTAAAGGTCGTATGCATGTGCACACCCGCAAGCATGTGAACACAAACTACAGGAATATAAGCACAAGTTTGGCATGTCATGCAACTCCAAGAATCAAAAACAAACTTCTAGCCATGCACTATTATCATCATGCTTCAGCAATATGCTCAGGCACATAAGCTATAAGCTGATGAATGATCCCGTACCAACCCAAACACAAGAAAGTAATCCAATGGTAGAGGCTACTGTCAACACCATTTAATATCCAAAATACTATTATCACAGGTAAGTAGAAAGTGTCCACAAATTGCTACATAAGTATCAGGTCAATGTTGTCATTATACTCTCAGAATCTACCACATCATACAGGTCTTTGGGGCTTAAAACACAACACTAAAAAAATTGTGAAGCCTTTGATCCCATATGACACACCACAGTGATGGGCACACAGATTATATCACTTTCAATACTTCAAAAGCATATCATATCCCATCCCACATTAGCCAAACCTATGTGAATATAAATATGATATTATAAGCAGATCTCTTTCGACGAAGCACCATAGAATTTCTTCCACTCTCATCAAATTTCAACACCTAGAAAAGTAATTCCTGGAGCAGACCAATACCACATTTTCTTGTAAATTAATAATGACATCTTTCTTCACTTCCCCTATCTTTGTTCAAACTTTACAATTACATGCAAATATTGAAAAGTTTAGTTTCTGGGTAAGTATAGAAACAAATTGTAGTCCCCAAACAGTAAGTCTATCACGAGGGTGCTCTTAGCTTAAGCTCGTGTCCTCATCCACTTGATGGAGACCATACTCTTACAGCCTCTCGATCCAACGGCTGAGTGTTTGGGCTCAGATGGGAGCAACCCAATGACAGCTTTTTCATTCCCAAAATACTAGTGCATAATCATTGTATACCACCGATAGGAATAATCTACAGGATACCAGTCTACTATCCAATTTGCTCGAGCTGAATCCAAAATAGTGAATTTAAAATTGATTTGGCAACCAAAAATACAATTCCAATTCCTCAATTTGTTTTTCCTTAAAAGACAGAAAAATCCACAATGTGAGTAAAATCTAATAGAAATGATTTGTGTTTATTTTATAAAACGAGAGCAAAGAACATAGCACATCAAAATTTAGAAAGATACTTGGGGTATGGTGCAATGTTATAAAAGGTAGTTTCATCCCCAAAACATTAACCCTACTCTGCCAGTCAAGATAGAACTCAAGATCAAACTCACAACTATCTCATCACAACCTAAATATAAGCACATCATGGCACATCCCAGATTAAATTGCATATCGAATTCCCTTTCCCATTCTGCATAGTGAAACCATTCATTAACACATCCGTTTAAGGCCTTGGAAATACAACCCTAACAGCTCAGCCCAGAACATTCTAATTCTATTAATTTGGTTGCAACATCAATATATCAACAACGACAACAAATGAATGAAATTTAAAAAGTCAGAGGCTTCACAATAGCAGCAAACAGAAAGTAAAATAGAAATGGAAACTCATTAATAAAGAGAAAAGAAATATTACCCGCCAGCAGAACAAAGGCCAAGAGCAAGAAGATCTTCTAACGTGGTTGGTAGCACAGATGTCAGAAGTGATGCAGACATACCAGCTGCTCCTAGTCCACCAAAAGTTCCCAAGAACTGAAATTCAAAGATAGAGTGATCCATTAGCATTAGGTTAATTTAACCGAGAATAGGTAGACTGAAAATGCTGATGCTTCAATAGGGATTTAGAGTTTTAGACAACTTCATGTGCTCTGTTTTAATTTTTAATTTTTAATTTTTTTTAATAATAAATCTTGTTCTATTTCACTTGAGGAGAATTACCCAAAAGGAACACTTAGGATCTCATTCGATGGCAACATCAACCCCACACACTTATAAGCTACTAATTTTCCATTTCCTTTTCCATGTGTTCTTCAAATCAAATAGAGCACTACACAATTTCACCATTGAAATTATTCTTCAAAGACGCCGGAACTACTTAAAAGAATTGATGAAGCAGTTAGTTCAGAAGTTGGAATGAAGCATCCAACCATAGTAACAAATATCACCAGCTTCGTTTCATCATATAAAATGAAACTACCCTACCATAATCCAGTTAAGCTTGTGTTAGCAAGAATCATTCCTCAAAATTGCTTCAAAACACAACTTTTATTTGGCTCCAAGTGATGTATGACCAGTATGTTTTGATAGTATACCACTTGATGCCAGATGGTAATGCTCTGATAACAAACTGATGTAGGACCAAAAATAAAGCAGGGGATAAGAAGACAGAACAAGTGGAGAGTTGAAGAGTGAGAACTATGTTACATAGATTCGGGTACTTGTATTGGGTACGGGTATGTATTCATGTGTCGTCGGGCGTGTCAAATCTCCAAACAGAAGACACATGGGCAAGGCAAAATATTCATTTTATTTAGGGTAAATTACAGTGACACCCCCTGTGGTTTGCCTTATTGACAGCCATCTAAAACTTGGCCCATTTTTTGACGACGACACCCCCTATCAAATTTGGATCCAAACAGAAGCTAAAAAAGGATGAAATAATTAATTTGCCCTTTAATGTTTTATTCATTTTTGGCGCAAAATATCATAACATTTAAATGACCAAAATGCCCTTGCAATGTTAACCACATATTTTCTTTTACTCTGTTTTGTTTCTCTCACCTTTTTAGTCCTCTCCAAAACCACCGACAACCTCTACCCACAATTGCACCTCCACCAATGCCCACCCTTCTTTTTTTCTCTCCTCATTCACCACCCCTACACCATTGCCCACCTCCCTTTTCACTGGTTTTGCTTCCCACCAAAGCAAGAAGTGAACAATATGCTTAAACCCAAATGGCGAAAAGCCGGAACCACTAATGTCCCCACCTTATGAAGTCGGAGGACAAAGTAGGTGCAGAGGCGTCGGAAGATCCCGCTATGGCGGGCGTCGTGAAGGGACGCCGCAGTTGTCGCACGAGGTCGGAATGCGAACGGTGGTGATGGTGGTGTCTTGCTTCATATCATATCACCATCACATCAAAAAAATTAAATCTTTTTCAAAATAGAGAATACAATTTTCAGATATAAAGCCTCAAAATCGAACCTATACAATCGATACATACATACATACATACATACATATATATATATATATATATAAGATCTATTTTTTGTAAAAAATAAAAATAAATAAAGCTTTAGTGCTTTACAGAGAAATAGAATGCAAAATGTGTGGTGGGGCTAAAGTGGTGGTGGTGGTGGGTGTGATGGGGGTGTGAAGTGGTCGTGGCAGGGCTGTGAAGTGGTGGTGGTGGGATTGGCGGGGCTGTGAAGTGGTGGTGGTGCTTGGTTTACTAGTATGAGAATATGATAATTTCATGTGTGGGGGTGACACTCAACTTTAAAGGGTATTTTGGTCAATCAAAAGAGTTGTATTGGGTAAATTGGTAATTTAACATGTCAAAGGGCAATAATGTCAGTTTATCATGTGTCAAATGTGGTAGGTGATGGTTGGGGGTGTCTTTGTTCACTTTACCAAACCTGATGGGTTGTCATTGTTCAAAAATGGGCCAAGTTGTATACGGTTGTCAATAGGGCAAACTACAAGGGGTGCCATTGTAATTTACCCTTTTACTTAATTATTTTATTTTCTAGAGTAAAGTAATGTTTTTATGTAACATAATGTTCAATATAGACATTTAATTCATTTTTAAAATAATAATCTAAAAAAATTGAATGATTGGACATGCTTTTTAAGTACATGTCCAACCTAAAGTCCCAGACACATATCCTATACCCATGTCCAAGCAATATGTGTCCGACATGGGTACTTCACTATGTTTGTAGAGTGCGTGTAAGATAGGGTGAGAAGAAAAAAGAAGGGATGAGAAGACAGAGTGAATAGATAAATGATCATCAATCCTCAAAAACTGAATTGTTTGATTATGCAATAGCCTTTGTATAGGCAAAAAGCATAAACAAACCCTAAAAATTCTAAAATAATAAATTACTAAAACAACCAAAAATTAAAACGTTATTAAAATAATAAAGATTACCCCTAATTACATCAAATTCCTAAGCTCGTCTATCTTTGCCTCTTCTTCAAAAGTAAAGACAAAGTACAAGCAGCTCACACATGCGAGTGGTTTCATGATCTCCGTCAATTGTCCTCGGCTAAGAACTCTCCCACGGAGAGTAAAGCAGGTAGTATTGCGTTAAAAATCCAGGATAACAAAAAAGAACTCCGATGCTCAAAAATATCCTCCATCCAATCCATATATTGTGGCTGAAATGGTGGAATAACTAAAGTTGCTGAAGAAAATGTAACTCCACTTGTAGGAACACAAGCTAAAAAAATAGGAGGCTCTAAGGTGCCTCAGCTAGGTGACAACTATTCCACATGGAAAAGAAAATGTAACTCCACTTGTAGGAACACAAGCTAAAAAAATAGGAGGCTCTAAGGTGCCTCAGCTAGGTGACAACTATTCCACATGGAAAACTGAACTAATACTATTATATGATGGAAAGTCAAATTAATATGCATTAGGTCTGGATTTATGAATGATGTGGAATGTCCAATGATTTGGGTTTCGAATGTCATAAAGTTCTTAGGATAAGGTTGTGGTAGCACGAATTATAACACAATCTCCTTCGATAGATTCATGATTCCTATGATGAGCATATGCAATGTTCATAGTTTTTATTAGTAAAAAAATATTATAATCGTATATCGGCATGAAAATCATGAACAAGCAAAACAAAGGAATCAAGAAATTCAAACAAACAACAATATGAAGGCAAAAAGAATAAGGTAAATAGGCTAATGAGAAAAATTATCATACCTAATATCAACCAAACAACTATCAGTTGACTAGTTGACCAAACTATTAAAAGCATACCCATGATAGGTAACAATCAGTCCCCAATATCTAGGTGGTTTTCCACAAGTCACTTAATCAAATCTCCTAGACATCACTTAGCAGTCTCAATTCGCTCATCAATCTAAGGATAAAATGCAAAAGAAAATATCAAATTGGTGCCTTAGAATGTCCAAAGTGTCTCCCAAAAATAGACTTTGTACTTGATATCACTATTTGACACAATAGAAGTGACCCATACAATCTCTATAAGAAAATCTTAAATGAACTCATTCAGTAACAACTCTTCCGGTTGTTTTCGTTTAAACACCCTTAAATTGGACATGGGGAATTTCCTTAGCCACTTCTTTGTCAAAGTGTTTTTGTTATCACAAGGCTGTGGAGAAAGCCTATACTGTGCTTTAGAGTTACCTTCTAATGGCTTTGCAGACCTTGATTTGATAATTATAATTGAAGCTATAGGTATTCTCTTCACTATGATGAGTCACATTTAAATCACATATCCAAGGACAACCAAGTAGCACGTGGGCTACATTCAAAGGTAAAACAGCACACCAAAACATATCGAAGTAGCCACCCGTTTAAATTGTTACTAAACACCTCTTGGAGACGGTCAAGGAAGTTTCTTCTACCCAGACCACTCTATATGGCTATATGGCTGTGGTGAGGTCCAGGATGAAGTTTCATTCAATCAACATTGGATTATGATATACATCTATTGAACGTCCTCCTTCAATAAGTCTTTTACAGGCTTTATCCCTGCATTTGAGATGTGTGGTTGATGTGTCTCAAATCATCTTTCTCTAAAAGAATTGATGGAATGCAAGTCACAACTTTGTTGCAGATTTCATTAGCTTTCCACGTCTCTCTAGTGTGTGTGTGTGTGTGGATATGGGGGGAGGGAAGTCGAGAAAGAAAGAAGACTTAGGACTCGGAACCAGGATGACTTGGGCACTTTATAATGTAGCGATCAAGTCAGAGACTAGACCTGGTTGTACTTATAACAATATTGATTTGTACACTTACGTGTATATCAGTATATGTATGCAAAAGAAGTCTATATCAATGACCAAACCTGTGCATCAGTAGTCAGGTCAACTTCTTGTTCAAGACACTTCTATTTATTATACAAAAGTTTTTGAACTCACCACTTCACGAATTTCTTGCTCAAAAAGTTTGGAAGCAGCAGAAGCACTAAAGTTCTCTATCACTTTGACGCTCAGATCATATTTTCTTGTCAGCAGCTCACTGGTCTCCCATTGAAACTTGTTGTGCGGATCAAAAAGTGAAGGCCATCTCTTCTCAAATGATTCCTTGTACAGCCTGCCTTCACGAGCATTGTTTGATTGTAACCAAGTCACATATTCTTCTAGTAGTCTCTACATAACAAGACAACATCCACAAAAATAATACATGAAAGGACAGATAAGACAAACTCCTCTGAATATCCAGAAGTAAATATGATTATGAAATCATTACAGAGAAAAATAGGCAGGAGTAATTCTCTAGAATGCAGTCACTAATAAGATGCGGATACTTAGCCGAAAAGGTAAAAAAATTAACAGAGATCAGAGCTTTTAAGAACTTCCACCCAATAGATCACTGACAGTTTCAAATTGCTTGTAAAAAACAAATAAATGTATATACATAAACTAACAAAAAAAAATTATTTTATTAAGTATTTTCTTATCTTTGAATGTTTTAAGCAACAATGTATAGGAATCACGTTACTAAGTAAAAGATAAGACTTCATATACACCTTTCCAAGTATAAATAAGACTATTTCATGAAACATACATATTGAACAGACTCTCGAGTCATAAATAGGCAAATGTCTATTTTTATCAAGTACCTTTAGGCTACTTGGTGAAATATGCAGCTATTCCATTGTTCATAACATGTCATATGAGCAGACATCATTTTTATTATGATAAAATTACTTCTGCAAGACATGTGTATGTCATACAATGACAAACTTCTATGTGTTTCTTTCCCATTTATAATATGATAGGATCTCGCTAAAGCATTATCTATTATTAAGTACTTCAGGGAATGAGTAGCACTACATGAAAAAGACAGAATAGAAGGAGAAAGTAACTTCACTTAGAAGCAACAAGCTATACGTAAGCTAAAATCTCTTGCGTGAACAGTTTGCACAAGGATGATTTCTTCTACTCTTACAAACTATTCATTCATCACCCAGGTGAGAGAAGCTTTGGAGTTTATTTCTCTAGAAAAAAGCTAAAGTAGTTTTCTAGTGCTATCCTGACATGTCTTGGTTTTCATTTAATCATTCTTTCCAAAATCATGCCGAATAGATCCAGAATTAACTTATGTTTTACTAGCATGCATTTGTTTTTCCACTCAAAAATCCATTATATGCGTTCTTTCAAATTATTATGGACAATTTCCCAAATAGCTCTTGAATCCTCAGGAATGTCCCTGTAGTTTCAGCATACTTGATGAAAAGGAAGAAAATGGCTCTAATCAAGTTCATTCTTCAAAATTCTAGTGAACAAGATCTAAATTACCATTTTATCCATTTATGATAAATGGCTAATTTAAATTCCCATGATTACTACTGAAAGAAAAGAAAAAAAAATGACAAATAAATTACCGCAATGCATCTCAACAAAATGTATAGTCTTAAAAAAATATCTAAAAATTCCTCTAATAAACTGAGTTTAAGCCCTTTTAAAATATAATCCATTTGAATGAATAATCATGATTGCCACATTTAAAAGCACATACAGAATTTGGAATTAATAATCACTTTGTACCAAAGACATATAAGATATGAATGTGCAAATGTCTTCATATACAAATAAATGAGACTTGTAAGTCCAATTTTTCACAATCTAAATGACTGAAGACAACCAAATAATATCTTGACCAATCATTAATTTATATCACATCTTTGATCAGTAATTAAAAATTTAATTATGAAAAAAAAAAAAAAAAGTAATTAAAATTTTGATCAATACAAAAATAATAATAATAAAACTGTTTCAAATGATATGCCCCACAATAAGCCATTTAAGAAAACTTTAATGACCAAAATAGGCGATCCTTCTTCAAAGTAGATTAAATATGTACCCAATGACTACAGCTCAAGGTGTAATCTGTGTAACTTAGGACCACAACTCAAGTTGCAAGCCTTGCATGCTCCTAAATTCATGATTTTGAAAATGATTTTTTTTTTTTTTTTCTTTTTTGATAAGCCATGTTTTGGCAATTGTTAAAGGCACTATTCAGGAAAAGAAAGAACAATGAGGAATATACAGTTCCTACATTTAGATTAAAGAACTGCAGCTTAAATAAAAAATCCCAAACAGCTTCGAGCCACTCACTTGTGCATCAGAAAGTGCAGGACCAATAATGTCATTTCGGATGCTTGAGGTGGCTGGCATGGAGTTAGATTTCTCTCCTTTAAAAACATATGAAGCCACGAGATCAAGATTTGATAATTGTAGAGTTGATTCTATAAGCTTGATGACTCGTGCTTGTGTAGAATCAATCTGCATTTTCACGCATAAAAGTTATGTCATGAAGTCCAAAAAACATATAAATAGACAAATATTGCCAAAAATCTACAGATAGAAAATACATATTAGATACCGGTTTTGCATCTGGCTCATAATAATTCAATAACAGAAAACATACCAATGATAAGGTTTGTCTCTTCCGAGAAATGCTTTCACTTTCCATCTTCATTGCATACCCCTTTACACTACTGATTAGTTCATTCAGTGAAGTCCAGTCCTGCTTGGCAAGATGGCACTCTTGTCTCACAAACTTTTGACAACGAAAAAGTAGTTGCTCTGCAATTCGAATAGGTGTTTCAAGCTTAAGCTTCATTCGTTCAATTCCTGTACTTGTTGACCCATCTAAAAAGCTATACAAGAACTTTTCAAGTTCATGGAAGCTACTGATTCTCCAATAGGAATCAGTCACAGATAGTTCTCCATATACTTGTTGAACATCAGAGGAAGCTGAAAGTTTTGCTTCAAGAGCAGCTCGTGCAGATACAGGATATAAAGTCACATGTTCGGTATTCAGCAACTTCCGGGTATTTTCCTTGATGAATGCAACAGCTTCCTCGAGCTGCATAAAATCATGTAAAAGAATTGAAGGGCAATAGAAACTCATTTTGGTGCCTCAAGCAGAAAATGTGACCCTCTTAGGCAGATCCTATTATAAGAGAATCCTATTAATAATTATTTAAGAAAAAAAAAAAAAACGAATAAAATGCAGAATTGAACCTCATTGGCGTTCCGATAGATGTCTGATTTATTCAAAACAAAAACAACTTTCTTCTTCCACTGCTGAGTGTAACGAAGAAAACCAACCTGAAAAGAACCACAAATGGAACCAAAATCAAAATTGGAAATAAACATGCTAGGTTAGCTTAAATATTAAAATGCCAAAAATACATAATATGTTACTATAACAAGTATGGTTGACAGCCGCGGCCGTGGTGTAACGGAATCAGGTCAGTATTGCCATAATGTAATGAAATCAATTATCACAGTCGTGAAATTTTCGATCTTGCACCTAGTGCCCAAAATGAGCCAATACACAACCTTTACAACATAATTCAATATAGATGAATTCTTAGTGATTTTTTATTGAATTTTTGAAGAGACCACCTATTCATGAATTCTAAGTTGATTTTTTTTTTTCGTTATTAAAAATTCTTAGTAATTATATTTTTTATGAAATTAATGAATAATAATAGGTTTAAGCATTAAATAATAAAAATCTGTACAGTATATATTATGTGATCATTAAAAAACTGAAAATAAAAAATAAAAAAAGAAAAAAAGAAAACAAATTTGAAAATCAAAATAAATGAAAAAATATAATGCAAGTCAAAAATAGTAAGAAAATTATAAATCATAACACATGCAACATGTATATCACAAAAAAAGTTACCACTTACAAATGAAAATTTAAAAAATAGAAAATAATTTTTTTCTAAAAGCAAGAACATCTCCGGAATGTTTATTTGTTGAATATTGATAATATATGCATGTGATGTATTATTATATTAATTGATTATATATTATTTCATATTTGATTATATTTAAGCATTATAAAGTTTATGTATAAAGTAAACAGCTTCTGATGTTAAATAAATATGAAACTATGGGTAAAGTAACAAATGCAACAAGTGGCATAGAGGATGGATCTCTGATTCTCATTCAAGAAGTCCCTGGTTCAAAACTCCACGGCTCCACCACTTTAACATTTTGAGCTTGTCAATGTTTGGGCCAGAGGTTCGGCGGACAATTCAGTTAGAAATGGACTGAATCATCCGTTTCAGCTTTGAACCTGCCGGTTCTAATGTAACTTTCTGTCCCACCAATATATCAGTTAGAAATGGACTGAATCATCCGTTTCAGCTTTGAGCCTGCCGGTTCTACTGTAACTTTCTGTCCCACCAATATATCAGTGGGACTCAGACTTGGCACCAGCCGGTCTGGCAAACCATGGTAACAAGAGTACCGAATTGGGGAATATCTAACTCATAATAATAATTGAAATGTGCATGCCCAAAACAAGAAATTTCAGTTCCGCATAAAAGAAGTAAACTCTGGAAAAGTAAAGTTTTTCTAGAGGTCAATATGTAAAGTTCATTTCTCTCATAGGCACAGTCAAAAGCCGAGGTCAATTGTGCTAGCATCCAGGCGATCGGAAAAGGTAAAAGGATCAGATGGTCCGGACAGAAGAAACAGACAAAAAAAAAAAAAAAAATTTAAGATCGAGCACAAGGCTTCAACTAAGTTTTTGTTTCAAAAAAGAAAGAAAGAAAAGGCTATTGTTGATCTTTGTTTTAACCTATTTTGAGGGCTGTCACCCAGTCCAGGCCAACCAACCCAAGCAGGACCCTGATATTATAATGCCCCTCCCTCCCTCACACAAGCACCATCAGTCCAACCCCCACTAAATAGTCTTTTGCTCTAATCTGTCCTTGGTTTTGCTATTTGTTTGTAAGTATTCAGTTTTGTAAATTTAATGCATTTTAACAAACTTTACTTTTTAAGACCGATTTAGCTTTTCAAATTAAGTTTTCCTCCTTTTTCCTGAATTATTTGTTTTCTGTGTTTGGGTTGTTTGATACTCTGCTAATATGTTTTCAAAATTCTTCTGGGAACTCAAGTTTACAAAGTTGAGCTTGGGCTTCAGTTGCTCGGGCTGAAGGCAAGGCTCGGTTGAGCTTGCAAAGGTACTGTTGAAGCTCAAGTTGGGCTAGGCAGACCTCTAACCCAAACCAGCCTGCCCAAAATGAAACCATAAATGGACAGTAGTTTTTCTAATATATATTTTAAATGTTTTTCCTAGACTACAAGCATTAAAATACAGGTATGGTTTTCATAATGCCATGCCTTCTTATTCCAACTTAAAGAAAAGACGTTGCATCTTACTTCCGTTAGCCATAATTGTCAGGAGTATCTTACTGATCACATTTTCATTCATATTCCTTTGGCTGAGGAGGTTTGGATCTGGTGGTGCTCCTTGCTGGGATTTCAATATCACAGGGTTGGGTCTGTTCTTCTTATGGCTGAATGGATCATACAGAAAGCAGCTGCCAATTCTATTAGAGTCAAGTTTGTTAGATGCTCTTTTGCTACTATCTTGTGGAATCTGTGGAAGGAGAGAAATTTTGTTGTCAAGATGTAAGTGGGAGAGTGCCGTATTGCAGAGTTCATGGTGCTGCTTTCAGAACTGCTTCTCAGCTTGCTACTGATGCTGTCATGGAATCCACTTCCATTATGGGCCTCTCAATTGAAGATTTAGTTTTCTTATGTCAGATTTTGTGCTTTGTAACTTTTGTTAACTTTCTATTTGTTTTCTGAACTGAAAATGGTTCCCCTCTTTCCATGTCCATGCCCCTATTTTCTTATTTGCACAGTTCATGGAAAAAATTATTTTGCTATTTTCATAAAATTATCCCATTCAGGGGGGAAAAATACAGCTATGGTTCACTATGATACAGATGTACAAAGAAACCTAAACAAAAGAAGCATTCGAACAACGCACGTCTGATCATGAACTGCTAGACATCTATAATGAAAAAATGAAATAACAGTCCATGACTATTTCGTAACAGAACTTCAGCAGGAAATTATGCAGAAAAGATGCCCAAAGAAAACATAAAATGAATGCATGACATAAAAAATATTAAATGTTGAATGTTGTTGTGTGTCTATGGAGATGTGTAGCAAGTTACATAACAATGCAGATTATGCTAACATAAATGATCAGATTAAAACCAGTGAGAAATATGAAAAACAAAGATCATGCACAATCTAGGGAGTTGTATGCACTATGCACATGTGACATATAATATTTGTAATTCTAGCCAAGCAAGAAAGAACATGTCTTAGAAAAAGTTAGAAACCCCAAATATCTGCCACAGAGAATTTTACAACACCAAGAAGCAAAAAGTTGAACCTACTCAAGTTAAGCCATTTGCTAAGAAGGGAAACAGAATTTCTGACCTCATTGCAATACCCATGCATTGAAATCAGAAATCAAATAGCTAAAAAATAACAAATGTCAAATTCTAGATTTTTTTTTTTTTTTTTTTTTTTTGTTGATAGACACACATACACACCTGTAATTAGGCCTCAACCATCTATTTTTCAAGCCAAGAAGATACCACTCTAGCTAAGCTCTTGGCAGTAATAATACTACTACACAGAGAGAGAGAGAGAGATGCCAACTAGTATGTTTTTTATTGATTTTAGCAGGCTTAAAGATGGAACAGAGTTACCAGGAGACATGTAAAGAATGCAACAGAAGAACTATTTAAAACTGGCAAATTATATGTTTATTTGTACATTAAGGAACACAATCTGACTATATTATTAGCCGACAAGCATTTTGCAGCAGGATATATAGAGAATATGTGAATCGGACAGGACAAGCTAAATTCTACGAACCTCACTATCTAGTTGCATTCAGTCAGCTAAGTATTGACAGAATGTACAAAAGAGCAAATCAAAAACATATGGATAACCGTGTAAATTAGTTCAAAGTAGACATGTAGCGGTTTTTAGATTAACAGGACCTTTCATTGCGAAACTGTATTTACTTGTAGATATCAGTTTAACTTTGTATAATATCATTACTTTTCCTGGTTGGTGCCCTTTGTAATATCCACAGATAGTATTTGTCTAGCTGATCTATCTTCCAGTATTCGCTCTCTTCTCAGCCCTTGAACAACTGAATAAGGAGTGCAACAATATATTGTCGCCCCAAAGGCCACCAAAGACGTGGTTGCAGATACAAACTTAGTAATATTAATTAAATGATACTTCTATATAAAATTAAATGTAAGCCCTCATAACAGTTTTGAGTTTTTTTAAAAAAATCTTTAACTTTTATTATTAAGAATCAAAGGATTGGATATATTTAAACCAATAGCATGTCAGCCTCTCATCTACAATTCTCAACAGCATATTCAGATTAGCCAGGCATCAAGGACTCCTCATTTGTTATTAAGATCACGAATTTAGATTCTCCACAAGAAACAAACAGTAAGGAAGTACAAAAGCAAATGATCTTATTAATTGCCACAACTACACAGACATCAACTAGCCTGCCACCGAGGATTTACAGCTGCCACTAAATCATACCTCACTTTCAGTTAATGGGCGATCGGCAGAAACAACAAAAAGAAGAATATCTGCACGGGGCACAAATTCCTCAGTCAGGCGTTGTTGCCTTTGAAGAATCACATTAGTTCCAGGCGTATCAACGATATTCATCTGTTTACAAAGAGATTAAAGTAAATTAGTTTTATTCAAGTAAAGCAATTATTATCAGCAGACTGTTAAAATCAAGTATCAGACCAGCATATATACTAAAGAGACATGGAAAGAACACCACAATAGATATAATGTGAAACTGTTTCATTTTATTTTTTTTTTCTATTTTTTCTTTTCCTCATTTATGTCCATCGTATCAAATTCCAATTAAAGCCAAATATTCTCTTCTAGTTCTCACCAAATGAGACAGTGTCTCTTACTCTTTAGAGCACATTTGGCATTCAGATTAGATCACATGACAACTCAAAACTATTCAAAGAATACACTACCAATCTTTGCATTTATTTGCAACTAATTAATTCCTCCGACTTTGGAATCCTTGCCAAGTTAATTCTGTGGTTTATTTGCTTGTTCCATTCAAATGACATCTTTTCTTGCCAAGTTAATTCATGGTTTGGTAGCTTGTTTAATTTTTTTATAAAGAAAACAAAAACAACCAAATAGCAGATACAACAACAGTAATAGTAACAGCAGATACGAATAGAGCATTTATAAAACCAAATAGAAATTTAAATATAACATTATTGCACAATGCAAGCTGGTGTAAGGATATTTCTCAGTTATAGAAGCAGAAGATTTGGTTTGAAAAGCATATTAGCAACCTTGAAATTGAACATAATTCAGACAAAAAATACTTCTTGCAATATAGGTTCACTATGATAGAGTGTGTAAAAAGCCAACCAAAAGTACACACTTTACAATCTTGCACCAAGAAGTGCAAATGAATGTGTGTTTTTATCAGGAAAATAATCTACCGGAACTAAATTAAAATGTAAAAACTTGGAAAGTTTAGAGAAACTCACTTCTTTAAGAATCGGAGCAGGTAAGTAGCATATATATTGACCATCTGGATGCCTTTCACAACGTTGTTGCTCATTAGAATTCAACTCAGAATAACGTAAGAAAGTTATCTCATTTGTTGTAGGAATAACACCATCTTTTAAGTATTTTTCCCCAAGAAGTGCATTAATTACAGTAGATTTGCCGGAATTAAATTCACCCTGACGATATCAAGGAAAAAAAACTCAGGAAACATAAAAGAGAAAATTAAATTATTTACATGGATGATAAAAAATTAACCAATAACCTTCTGAAAATAAATGCAATGTATATAACAAAAAGATCAAGATACAATGTTCAATGTTACCATAATAAATAATAAATAAATAAAAATTCTTTGAATTGGTCATAATTTAATAATTTTGTTGACATATTGAAGGGGATAATGAAAACAACAATATCTTAATATTAAGCCTCAACTAAAGAGATGGTTTTCATCAAGCTGGAAAGGAAGAGCAGACTCATGTAGCAAAACCCCAAAATAGTTGCATGAATAATTCCAAATTGGATTAAAAAGGGAGAGAGAAGCAGTGTGGAGGAGTGCGTAATGGAAAAAAGAGTCAAGCGAGACACAGGTAAGTATAACAATACCACAGAAACAATTGCTACCCTTTCGTCTGCAAAATTATCTAGTTAACTGTTTTGTGTTATTGCATGGAAGCAAATGAATTTACGAAAAGAGTCATTAAATTGTCATTCTGACTCACAACTAAAAGCTCCTACACCATGCCTTCTTACCAACATGCAACTCATTGCAAGCTTAGGTATCCAACCAAGCTTTGTTGGGAAAAGGTTATGCAGGTGACAAGTGTGGTGTTGAGCGATCCCCCCTTGAAGGGTAGGAGTGGAGGGTAAATTTGGGAAAATGAGAAGAGAATGGATATCAAGTGAAGTTAGAACATCTCAAAGACTGAAGCTTACAGAGTTCATTGGGAAGGATGGGCAAATTCTCTAGAAATATTTATTAGCTATGTGATGAGTAAAGGGAAAAGGTAAATCTTTGGCAGGATCCACGAAGTAGGGAACTAAGGAAAGGACCATGAAATTTTTAGTGTTTTTCACTAAAATTTTCAGAGATGCTCCAGATAGAGGAATTCAGTTGAGAGGTTGTTTCAGATGTACATGTCCTCATGACGAAAGAGAGAGATTATCACTGAAATAAGATGGTCTAGAAATCAAATGTAATTTCTTTTGGAGAAGGCCTCCAATGGAAATTTTAGTTGGCGAGAGAGAGAGAGAGAGATTATATGTGCCATTTAATTAAAGATGGGACCAATACTGGATGGTTTGCCTCCCAAAAATGTCAAAGTGCTATAACAAAATCGGGCATGTACGTAATGTAGTAATGTAAGATTGACCGCTATATTTAATCAATGTCCACAAAGAAAATTGTTCGTGCCTTGCTTTCTATTATATAATGTTCACTATGTGTCGGTAATTTAACGCTCATTCATTCAATTGGCCATAGAAGATGAGCATAAACGTTGTTAAGTAGTCCATGAAATTTATATAGAAATGAGAATCTTATTAGATATTATTCCTGGTGCACTCCCATCAATTGAATTTTGTAAGAACAGAACTCTCAAATAGAAGCAGCAAAGCAAATACGTCACATGTTTTAAGGGCATTTGTTATTTGTAAGTCTTAATAAATGCATGGAGGATGTAAAACGCCACCTAATTTGAGATTGTACCAACCAAAAAAACAAGATAATCTATTTGAAATTTAGAGCTAATACCAATTTATATCCGTGGAACCAGAATTTGTTGAAGTTCAGCACACAATTACCACTATAGCCAGTAAAAATGGCTCATCGAGTTGAGAAACAGCATCAATGAGAAGTGAGACCTCCCCCATCTGCCATCAAGACCCATACGCCCAAATAAGTGTAAAGCAAGCAAACCATTGAAGAAAGTAAAATCATCTGAAGAACTCAACTACCAAATGTAATATTAAAAGATCACCAGTGGTGCAGCTCTCTGGATAACATTAATCGCTTCAAGCAATACCAATCTCTCTTTTTCTATGAACTGTCGTTCTCTATCTTCCAATTTAACAAAGCCAGCAAACCCCTTTTTCCTGGGAAAACCATTATCCACGTCCAACATTTTGAGCTTGTCAGAACTTTGAGGTTTTTTCTGTGGTCTCTTATTCAATGCAAATATAGAGTAAAACAATTTGCTCAAAACTTCATCACTGAACAACTTCAGTTCTTCCAATGAAATCACTAAACCACTAGCTCCTGACTTGAGCAATATCGATGCTTCATTAAATAATGTGTCCTGTCCAAGTGATGCCATCATGATAAAAACTGGAATTTTCACAAACTCAAGAACGGGGTTCACCATTTCCTCAGCAACTCTCTCTCCACCAATACTGTATATGAGAAAATCAGCACCTTCAGAATTAGATGCACTTAAAGCAGCATTTGAAGTCTGTACATTTCTTGCTACCAAAGGGAGAACTACTGATTCAGATTTGGAATCCATCATTGTATTCCTTGCCACAATTGCAGGTAGGCCTGTTATAAAAAAATAATAATAATAATAATAAATGAGAGAGAAAAACATTATGAAGATAATGAATGTAAATTGAATGATGAAAATCATGCACTGACATTGAATTTTAGGCTAAGCGATAGAAGCAGTCTAAATGTTGGGAGCCTTTTGACTGAGCATGAAAGAAAAGTTCACATTACATTAACATATTCACAATTTCAGCCTGTGCAATATAACAGTGAAGCAAAGCGCATGATCCTACTCGAGTAGGAGCTTGTATCCAAATTTATTGAATTCCAATCAACGTGAACTTGGGGAAGATTATCTGAGGTGGTTGGCCTCTAAGAATGGTAATGTTGAGGCAAAATCTTTGTATAGAGCCTTTGTGGTTTAATAGCCCTCTTTTCTTGGAAGAGCAAGGTCACCTCTAAGATTGCTTTCTTTACATGGATAGCCTTGAAAGAAAAAATTCTTAAAATTGACAAGTTGACCAAGGGAAGAACATTCTTGCTAACTGGTGTTGTATGTGTAAGAGGGCAGCATCTCTAGTTGAATTGCATTGTTGCGAGGGACGTGGAGCTTGCCTTTTCCACTCTATAGGGTCTAGAGTCTTTCCTGAGAGTGTGGGAGACACTTGACTCTTGGTCAGAGAAAAAGTCCACTTCCTAGGGTGCACTGTATCTGGAGCATGGCCATGTAGGTTCATTTGGTATGTTTGGAAGGAAGGAAGAGAAGATCTTTTACAGATTTGAACCTTTCAAAATCCAAGTTGAAGAAGTCATTCTAGAGTTCGTTGGACTCTTAGTATTTCGGATGGAGACTCACGTAATATGATTTTTCTTTCTTTCTTTTTTTTTTTTTTTTTTTTTTTTTTTTTTGGAGCAAGATGAACTGTAATTTGGAGTTGTAGTCTTTTCTCCTTTTTGAGGGGCTTTTTTGGCCGTTCCAATATGTTTTTTTGTATACTCTGCATGAATTCAGTGGCGCCTTTCTACTTTCTGTATATATCGTTATCAAAAGAAAAAGGAAAATGCAGTGACCAACTTGGACAATATAAAACGAAAAAGAAAACAAAAAACATTGTGACAAACCACATTTGCTTTCTTAGGGGTTGTGGCATTAAAATTTATTGCTTAATTGAGTTTTTTTATTAAGAAACTGGTAGTTCAAAATTTTCAATGCAACCCGTGATGTCTTTTTTTCATAAAAACATCTAAGTTAAATGTCGGAGAAAACTTTATCAGTTTCCATGTATAACAACTATACAAGGTAGGTATTGCACATCCAAATGTAAAATCAAACAGAGTGATGCAGTAATGATAACACCCAGCCTTCAGTTTTTATGAGCTATTCCCTAGACATCATGTTACTCTCAAAGGTTTTGGGACGTGTACATTGCGATTTTCTCAACATCAGTACATCCACCAGATTTGGCTTCATATAACCAGCATTGGGTTGTATAACAAATCAAAGTTTGGCAGAGAAGTTTGGTGAACCATTAGGCGAAAAAGAGAACATCTTTTAAGTTACACGAGTGTATGACAATGCATTTGATACATAATCTAATTGATGTTCACTGGCATGTGTTCCTTATGGTCAAATTTTAAGGGATCACATCTTTATATCCTTTTTCTCAATCAACACGTAAGCACATTTTAGTTTGTCATTATTGTTAAAGTAACACCACCCTACAAATTCATCAACTTAGGCAATTTAACCTAAAATACAGTTTAAGTGGACATGTAATGAAACCATGGAAATTTTAAACATAACAATTAAATTCTAATAAAATCAGTACTTTTAGAGTGGAAATGAGACAAGTTCAAACAATAATACAAGCCAAGGGATATCAAACCTTGGTCAGACAGAACAACCCCGCTGGCATTAACAGCAGCAGCAATGTCAACACGCTCGGCGATCATCAAATACGCCCGGTCGCCAATCACCGACTTCAACAACCGGGCAGCTTCATACAACCTCCCACCACTTCCTTCACCGCCATTGAGCACCACAATCCCAACCCACTTCGAAACCGCCTCATCGATCAAACCCAGAACGCCATTATCGTCCAACACCTCCTCGGAGTTCAGCTGAAGGACTATAGTGGGTACTTTAATCTCCGGGCGCTTGTACCCACCCGGAAATGACGTTCTGGGTTGATTTTGACTGTTGGTGTAGAAAGAGTTGTTCTTTTCGATTGAATTTACAGAGAGATGTAGTCGGCTAGGTCGGAGCTTGAATTGGAATGGAGGGACATGGTGGTGTTGGTTTGGGTTGAAGAAGAGAGAGTGGGTTGGGGTGTGAATGGAGGTGGGTTGAGAGAGTAGTGATACCATATGGAAGAAGAAGAATTGGAGACAAAGCAAAGATGGGTTTTGCGTAGCTTAGGGCATCAAGGAGAATAGAGAGAGAGAGGGTGGGAGATTGTTGAAGGTAGAGCCTTATCTTTCCTTCTTAACGGTGTTTTGTTATCCTCTTATCTGTTTGGGATTTTGTCTGAATGAAATACAGAGCCAATTGAATTTTCAAAGGGGTGTGCCAAAGGATATGAGCACTGAGAGTGATTGTGAATGAATTTTGGACCGTAGGCCACACACAACGACACAAGTGGACATTTCTTTTCCCTATTAAGAAAAACTTCTGTGCTTGCTTCATTTAATTCATATAAAATTTTATTTCTTTCACTTTCCTTTTATTGATACATGGTTGAGGGAAAATAACTATATGTTTATAAATTATAGAAGAGAAGCCAATGATAAGGACATTCTTGATGTGAGTAGTTCTCAAATAGTTTCTTTGTTTTTTTTCTTTTCTTTTTTGATAGATAAGCAGACTCACACAGTCACACATATGCTTTTTTGTATTTTTAAAGTTACATGAATTGTTGAAATAAATAATCAAAATTGCAAAAAGATGTTTAGCATTATCAAACAAAGTAATTTAATTAAATAAACTCAAATAAGAAAAATCAAAAAGCTTTTATCATTACTCTATCTTGTGATACAAAGTCCTAAAAGTACTCACAATGAGGTAGACAACACTACCTTTTCGGGAAAAAAAAAAAAAAAAAAAACCACCTTCAATTTAATACTATTTATTTTATTGAAATTAATTTTTTTATTAGTCAATTTGGTGTTAATAACCAAGTGTCGTGGCTCAATAGTATCTTCTCTACCTCCCAAAGTGGATGGTAAAAGTTCGAGTTTCCAAATGAACAAAATGGGTATCTGAATTTCTTACCGATGACGAAAAAAAAAAAAAATGGTGTTAGTAAAGTCCTATTCAGGACTCTGATGCTTCAACCAATTTTTTCAGTTAAATAAATGTCGTAAGTTATCATTGTTGCCATCTTTCACGTCTCCCTCCATTTCTTCTGCTTTGTTATGAGCATTTGCTCATGGAGATCATACTGAATCCACAAGGAACAATAGCACATTACCTAGGTGATCCAGAAGAAGAGAAAAAAGAGGACATATGCATATACATATATAGCCTCCAAAACAGTCATTTGCCTCTACCACAGAGCAGGCAGCATCTGATCTTTTCGAGATCTCTTGGGAAGGATCTTGAAACAGAATGCATTATGTAGCTAATGTGACATTCCTTCTGTAAAAGTTTTCAGATCAAAAGCATGTAGAAAAACATGCATGATCCAAATTCCTTTAATCCAACAATGACCTCCATTATTGGCTACTTCACAGCTATATGAAAGCAAAATGCATGATACGTTGACGTATATATGCACTGCTATTTATCCATGCAGCAGGTTTATTTCAATTTGCAGCAGCATCCACGCATTTTAAAGTGTAAGACAACAAACCACAAGCAATTAAACTAGGAAATAAAAATAGTACAACATAGCTGAGCAACGTCTAGAGTTGAATCCAGTGCTCCAAGTACAACAGAGCAGAAAAATACAAAACCTGAGACGTTCTAACGTCTCAGGGAAAAGCAGACACAAATGTTATGAGATTAACCCTACTAATTGATGGATCTATTATACTATTCTGGATGCAGCTGAACTAGCTTACACATTAATTCAGTCTTCCATAATTAATAGTGAGAACCGTTACGATGACTATCGAGGTAGGTTATGCCAAGGCAGCATACCTGTCACACGGTAACTCTATTCATCGTGCTTAATATTGAGATCCTGAAGTTTGGATCCCAATTCATCCTCATTATCAGCACCATCTTCTTCGGCCTCTTCATCATAGTCGACTCCTTCAGGATCATTCTCATCCAAAGGCCCAAGTACATCAGGAGAATTTTTAAATATATCCTTCAGCTCATCAACCCCTTCGTCAGATATGAAATTAGAGTTGATGTTCAGCAACTTAAACCCAGGTTTGCATACTACAGCCTGTGCCAAGATCCTGGCTCCAGCCCTTCTTATTGAATTGGTGCTCAGATCGACTTCAATTAACTGGTCATGACCCTCTTCCAATGCCTTCGCAATCACGATAGTACCCTCATCTTTGAGTTCATTTTCGGACAAGTTTAGCTTGGTGAGAGTTTGTTTTGCAGCTATACAGGATGCCAAAGCAGGAGCAGCTTCCACAGTGATGTCATTCCCAGCCATCTCCAAAACTTCAAGAGAAGGAGCAGACTTCAGAAGAGCTTCAGTCAGAGCTTTAGACCCTTCATCCTCCAAATTCAAATAACTCAAGTAGATTTCAGTAAGATTTGCAAATTCAGATAGAGCTTTAGTTAAAGCAACACCAGCCTCCACACCAAACATGTTGTCACGCAAATCAAGCTTCTTTAAATTGGTACACGTCCCAAGTGCTTCAGCCAGGGCAACTCCCCCCTCAGAGTCTACCCTTGTAGAAGAACACCGGAAATCCTCCAGCACAGGAGATTGTTTCACAATTTCAGATATAGCAATTGCCCCTTCATCTCCTGTCATATTATTATGAAACTGAAGGATCTTAAGTTTCTTGGATGACGGAATAAGCTCACACAGTGCTCGTGCGGCTTCTTCCGAGATACCATCATTCATCAAATAGAGCTCCTCTAAATTACTCTGTGATTTTAGGAGCCCCTCAAATGCCCTCACACCCTTTTCACCCAAGGCATTGTTTGAAAGGTTCAGATACCTCAGTTCACAACCTTCCAGGGCTGACGAAATTATATTCATAACTTCAAGAGCTTCAGTCTCCGGCCTTCCTGCAATAAAATCTGATAGGTCTACTTCTCTCAGTTGATCCTTGATAGATGACAAGATGGGCTCAGCAACATGGGCTGCATCCAAGCCAAAACTTCTATTGCTGAAACATATCTTAGTATACTTGTTTCCTGGAGTGCTCAGGGGTTTTAGCAGCTCCTCAGCCTCCTCCGCATCAATAAATGCGCGGCGACCTCCAGATATATCAAAAGTAGTCTCGTAAGAAGCTTCAACTTTTGTCTCCTCTCCAGTTTCCTTTCTTCTAGAGCCTCTTTTAAGAACTTCCAGCATAAGCTTACTGGATTCTTTAGCATAAAGTTGAACTGCAGAACTTCCATCACCATCCGGCTCCTTCTCAAAGTGTTGGTTTGCAGTGGCAAAAGCCACGCCTTCTATTTCCTTGGCATCCTCCTCAGCCTCTTCTCTAGAAAGAAGACCATACCTTCTGGAGAAAATGGATGGAGTGATAAAATTCTTGGTCATTCGTTCCACAAGCATTAGCCGTGTACTCTGACTAGGTGGCCATAGTTTAATCGACATCTTGCGGGTTACCCTCGAGGAATCCATGTCAAAGTAACCTGGAATATATTTATTGCAATCCATCGTAAGCTTACATTACAAAATGAAAGTTGAACCTGATTCGGAAAACTTTGAATGTGAAGATTTAGGCAACTATGAAGTCTAAGTCATTATCTATGAAGACAGAAGAATTAAACTAACATACACAATTAAAAATAAATAAATAAAAAATTCCAAATATATATTTCTTAAGAGAATTTTTCAAATGAAAGCTACTGACAAGTATTCTATGTATCTTCTTTACAGGTAACACAAGTCACTACATGTCTCTAATCAAATAGACCCACAAGCTTATAGATTCCGAGTGTGAAATGAATCCACTAAAAGCACCCTGATTACCATCCATCACCTTTCCAATGAATGGAACAAAAGCAATAGTCAAATAAATTATTCTTATCTCAATAAATGAACATCCATGAGAGATCTAAAGAAAGATAAAAATCTATCAGATTATAAGTTCCTCAAAATTATAAACTTGGACACCCAGCATGTATTCGAATCACAATTCTGGAATTCAAACCAATTAAAAAATAAAAGATGCTGTGAACTCTATCCTTTCATCATTCTGCTTAATTTTGCCTACAAAAATAATTTAAACATATACTCACCAGCCCTACACACACATGACTCACTACTACAAAAAATTGTCCTCAACAAATCCCATATGACCTTGTGTAAAAACAAAACAAAAACAAACAGACAAACAAAAAAGAGTCAAAAATGGAACCAGTTGTTGATCCCTATTAATCAAGAATGTTTAGAAGGGCAAACCGGATATAAACTGACAAAGCGGATAACCTCAAACTCAAAACCTCATTCACAAGCTTGGCACTTCAAAATTTTATATTGCACCAAACAATTACTCCTACAGTCCCATATCACATTATTGTAATATAAATATCTAATACGCCATAGTAGTTAGATATGAACAAAAGAATGAATAACATAAACAGGCATGACTTACACAGATACCAAAGTTACAAACCCTCCACCCACCATATATTTATAAATAAATAAATAAGCCTTACACATTCCATTTCATTTATTGGGAAGGACAAGAGACTAACTTGGAAGAAAAATTAGCAGAAGGGAAGGGAACGGGTTACCAAGGGATGCGGAAGAAAGAAAGAGGAGCCTAAAAAATATGGAACTTCAATCCATTAAAAAAAAAGGGAAGGAGAAAAAAAAAGGAAAAATAGAAAGATGACAACATCTTCAACAGATGGAGCAAGCCCACATGACAGAACAAAATAAACCCAAAAATTTGCACCAGCAAAACATGGAAGAAAAAGTAAAAGAGAAAGTCCTGAAATTCTAAAGCAGCAAGGACAACATAAATATATGCAAAACATACCTCCTGTGTATTTATATAATATATTTGTGTAGAGAGAGAGAGACTGAGTCCAGCATAAAAGTATAGAAGATAGATGGCAGTAGAGGAGAGAAAGGGAGACAATACAAAGATAGCAACAAGACAAAAAAGCTATCATCAACTGTGACAGCCTTTTTATAGAAGATCTGTACTCTCAATGATCAGCATCATGACAAAATTAACATAATTTTTAATATCTTAAAAGAACGGAGGGGGGGTGGTGTGTTTGTTTGATTCATAAAGTTATGCTACTTATTCAATATTTCAACACACACACACATATAATTACCTTGTTCCTCGCATATCTGTTACGGAACTCGGCACCAGCCTATACCACCCAATCCTAGTGAACATTAATCAACTGAAGATAATACAGTGACATTATACTCTAAGAAGCCTTGTTGAACAATTAAACATACAATTAATCCACACAATCGGATTCTTCACTTTACATCCATTCTGTACCCTCACAACACATTGGTTCTTTAGTCCTTCCAATGTCATGACCTTGGCCTTTACATAGAGATGTATACTCATTTGAAACGCATAAAAAAAGAAGAAAGGATGATGTAAGACTTCGAGAATAAGTTAACATTCTCATAAAACACCTTCCACTTCCATACACAAAAAAGTTATACGTCTGCCATTTCATTTATTGAAAAAGACATACTAAGTTGTTCACTACATAGGCTTATGTGGTATTTGAGAATAAAAGAATGTAGGATATGAGCATTGGGTACCTTTTTACATAAGTAAAAAACCATTCTAGGTACTCAGAATAGGGATGATAGTATCAACCAAAAAGGTTGAATATATGATCCTTAACAATCTTAAACTGTTTTATCACTAATATCTCTTGCAAACTTCGATAACATGAAAACAGTATTTTCCTCAATTTGTATTTCCATCGTAATGAATGGAGATATACTGCATTGTAGAATAATGGTAGAAAAAGCTTCATTAAGGGAACGTTCAGAAATTAAAGAAATTCGGAAAACACAAATATATGGAAGACAAACAACACATATTTATAACATATATATATACAAAGGGAGATAGAGAGAATTCCAACTTAAAAGTATAGCAAATAGATGGAGAAAGTCAGAGAGGGGAGACAAACTGAGACAATACAAAGACAACAAGACAAAAAAAAAATTGATCAGAACTTGTGAGATTCTGGACTAATTAGACTAGCAAAGCCAAAGTTACCACAAGATAATAAGTTAATCATCCTTAGAGACACAACCAATTAATAAAAGATCTAAATTCCCAATAATCAGCATTATAACAATACTAACATAATTTTATTTTTATTTTGGTAAGTATTAACGTAATTCAATATGTTAAAAGATTCAAGAGTTTAATTACTAAATTTGGCTATTCATTCAATCTTTATTTTTGGCATAATCAAAAGTTCCTACTTGACTAAAAGTCTAAAACAATCCCGTACAATTAAAGACATGAAAATTGTCTTTATTCCTTGTATATCTACCATCTGTAATGGATCTATGCACCACGATATACCATCCGGTCCTCGTGAACATTAATCAACTGAAGACACTACATAGATATCATACCCTAAAAAAACTAGTTGAACAACCCAGTTTTTTTTTTTTTTTCCTAGTTGGTACTCACACACACATGCCTCCATTGAGGTGACTCGAACCCCTGACCTCTCTTTGAGAAGTAGGGGTTTGGTACCGCTAGGCCACTGGCCTATTGGTAACAACCCAGTTTTTATCCACACCACCCAATAATTCACTTTTTATCCATTATCTACTCACAAAAACAGCGGAGCTCTTTCCAGCATAGTGGATTAGGCATTTTCATACAGATTTATACTTATACAATGCATATTAAGTTTAAACAAAATAAATGAATAAAACAAAGGATGAGAATTATAAGACCAATTATATTCTCCCCATTTCTTCAACAAATTCAAACTGATGCTATATTATATATTAGAACGCTCTCAAAAAACTAGTTTGCAGCTGCACAAATATAAACCTGATTATAAATACAATTCATGTAATAAAGAATAACACCAACAATTAATACAAAGGAGCGAAGAAATGCCTAGGATTATAGCAAATATGAATATTTGAAGGAAGCAGCAAGTGCAAGAATGTTCTTAAAATTTACAGGTAAGACTCAACCGTGCTCTTATATTTCCCATTAAATAACCAAATCACTAAACCAACAACATCAATCGGATCACAAATGCATACGTATATATGAGTAACAATAAAATGATAGAGACATACAAGTTTTTGTGCATCACAATGATACAATCAGTGCAAACATACAACAGTAATTCATAGCCACTAAGAACATGAGAAAGTATTGTATAGCATGTAGAAAATAGTTGAGTCAAAAAAATGGCTCAGCAGCCTATACACACTTGTCTCACTCATATAACTGCCACAATTTATATACACAGAGAGATCTTCAAGATTGCGCGAAATCAAGTAACATATAATGTTGTTCACTGTGAAGCCCCAGTTACTAGAACTATAATATATATATATATATATATATATATATATATATATAAGGAATTCATTTCAATCTATCAAGAGATTCATTCAATAAAAACAGTAGTGATGAAACAAGCGACAAAATATAAATGTAAAATTTGTGTCATCATAGAAAAACCAATCACTAAAGTAAAAAAATTGTAGTAAATCAAATTATTCATTTCAATCTGTCAAGAGATTCATTCAATAAAAACAGTAGTGACGAAACAAGCGACAAAATACAAATGTAAAGCAATAATTCAAGAAAAAAATTGAAAGAATCATTGCGAACCATACGAGTGAGACGAAACCCTAGACCTTGGGTAGCAATAATCGAAGACAGCAAACCCTAGAAAAGGATAAGAGAGAGAGAAAATGTTAAATGGGGTGAGAGAAAGTAACCTTTTTACGGTATGAATCTTTCTTTGTTTTATCGCCTGTGTTGAGTGTAATCAACAAATCATCAAAAAGGGCTGCAGATAAGAATTTTTAGGGCTTTTTATGAGAGAGTTTGGGAAAATTGGAGGGAAATGGCGAACTCAACTTAAAATATTGGGAGCGAAATCGTAGGCCATGAATTTCCTATGAGCTGAAATGACTGAAATATCCCCAATCTTCTTCTGTTATCTTCAATTTCGGGCCGTTGACATTAGTGGGCCACTTGGATTGGTCTATTTATACTGGTTTGGGCTGGGCATATGGAGACATCAATTCATATCCAGCCCAGATAATTCTTAGCCAACAATATGTATTTTGCAAAAAAATAAATAATAAAAGGATATTTCATAAGATAATTAAATTTTTATTTTTTTAATTGGCTTCAAGGTTTTTTTAAAATGAATAAAATTAATTTGAATGATTTTCTATAAATTTTTTGTCAACTTTGAATCTGAAAAATGAAAATGCATACACATTTTGTGTATTTTCTCTTTTTTTTAATTTTCGATAAATAGGATAACAAAGTAATACATTAGAAAAAGTAATGGGAGAAATTGATTGGAGCATTTTTATATTAACCAAGCACTTGGACAATCATTTAAAATTAATATATGGCTTAACATTGCTAGGATGGGTCAGTTGAAAATATAAATCATATTTCAAAAGAAAGCATAGTATTATATACTTCTATAGAATAGAAAAGTTGAGTAAAGGTTTATTTTTTATTTATGTACTATATAGCATACAATATGTATAATTTAACCAACCACTTAAAGGATTATATTATCATTAATTTTTTTTTTTATAAATGAGAATTGTTCCTTTTTTTTTTTTTCAAGGTAAGAATGTTAGATTAAAAATTAGAGATACAAAGATTCGAAATCGTGCTTCCAAGAACAATGAGGAGCAATTCAACCACTGATTATCTAATGCGGTGGTTACTCAAAAAATTTAAGGCATCTACAGTGAATTTAATTGCGGAGAACTGACAATGCTTCCATATAGAGAGAACTAGGAATTTTATTGGTTCCAATGTTAATATCAATAGTCATCTTAAACTATAATATGCTACTTCACAGCATGGTACAATTACAATGTTACCAAAATCACATATAACAAGCTAGGAAAAATAATCACATAATTACTGATAAATAAATATATGTTACATGTCAAAAATGCAATCAAGAATTAAGTCTGTCTGATTATTTTAAAATCAAAACCAGATGTCTGGTGATGAATTTGAATATATATATTTTTTTCACAATGAAATCATGATCCAATCACCATCACATTCGGAATTTGGAATCATGGAATTATCGTGCCTTCGTACACGAGTCAAAATATGATTACTGTTAAAATTTACGGTGTTATTATGTACATGTCAAAAATGCGAGCAAAAATTAAGTCTCTAATACGACTCATAAATCTTGTAACAATTATTCTTTAAGGATAACACTAAGGTTTTTAGCTTGTGTCGCCCTTTTTCAAAATTTGAAATTGTGATTTGTTATTGCTAATTTTAATTCGAAAAAAAATATTGTAGCGAATAGCAGAGTGAAAATTTTAAAATATTCAAAAATACCGTATCCCTCAGACCTGATTCAACGTCCAGGGTTTAGTACTCCTAGAAAGTGGAGCTACAATACAACTTAAAAATTGACTATTCTGTACCTTACATGACAAAGGCACTATCACATCTCTCTCAAACATCAACAAATTTTTTTTACAAGAAGTCGCAACTTTGTTACCATTTCTCTCCGCAAGTGCATTCTATTTTATTTACTTGTTCTTGTTTGTGGTTGCATTATAGGGTTTTACATTTTCTGATAAAAAAATTAATGGTCATTAAGATTGGATTGTTGGCTTGTTTATGCACTAATCTATGTATGGATTTACTTGTTAGTTTAGCCCTCACTTGGTTATTAACTTTGTCCGAGTGTAGTTTTTAGTATGGATTGAGGGATTAAATTTCTAAATCTTTATTGTTGTTACTATTTTTCTCTCATAATCAATTTGTTCCATTTCTTTCAAAGGAAAATAATTCTAAAAAATGTTTTCCTATATAATTTAAAGTGTATCAATTTGAAAAAAGAAAAGCAATTTTTTTTAATTAAAAAAAAAAAAAATCCCCAAACAATTTTTGTTGAAGCAAATTGAATTTTTGTGGAATTTCTAACTATTTTTAGCAGTGGAGAGTTGGATTTGTTTCAATTTCGTTAGAAAATGGCATAGCATGAGAAGCATAAGACTAACAACGAAAGAGAAAAACGGGGATATTCATCATCACCTCTTCTAAGTAAATTTGCCTAAGAAAGGTTTTGAGTACTACATTTTTTTAATATGCACTTTCCACAAGAAATTGCAAGTGTGTAATAATCTTATTATTTTAGTATTTACTAGAACATTTTCATATTTTATATAGGCCGGTGATATTCACGTTCTAAGAGACGCTTAATTTGAGACAGAGCCAATAACAAAAGTTACGAACATGCACTAAATTTTTTTATAAAAAAAAAATATTATTATGGTTAGTCCATTTAAGCGTCTTATAAGTTATAACATAGTACAAGGGATGTACATTCAATTACCACTCAATTGGGCCAATTCTCAAATATAAACCTTCAAAATATGTATTACTATACAAATTTGTCATTTGCTAAAGTTTTTCTTTCTTTTTCTTTTTTTTTAAAAATATATATATATATATATTACAAATAAATTTCAATGTGAGTACAAATAGAGCGATTAAAACATAAGCCAATGTAATATCACTGCACTCTACACCCCTATATATACTAATATAACCAATAACTGTCGTGGTTTACTTTTCTTATTATAAAACCTAAACTTTCTACTCTGTTTACAAGTAGCTAAATACTGTTAAATTGTTTGAATGTAATGTGATTATTTTATTCTCCTCACCCCTATGAGTTAATGTGACTCAAGTGAATCTTTATTTTGAGATTTATCGTCATGTTTTTGATCTTTGCTTTGTCGTCCTAAGTTAATGTGACTCAAGTGAATTTTTATTTTGAGATTTGTCATCCTGTTTTTGAACTTTGCTTTGTCGTCCTGTTTTTGAACTTTGCTTTGTCGTCCTGTTTTTGAACTTTGCCAGTGCAATTGGCATTGCATTGACAGTACAGTTTGGTTTAGGCTCGTTCACCTGTTGAGGGCTTATACTGAAAGAATGAGAATTGTAACGCAAGTCTAAAATTTAGTGCACTGTCTCATTGGTTAGAAGTGAACTATTTGTATTCTCATAATGTGGGAGATGCATTCTACCTACAAGTAGATTGGTCACCAAACTACTAAGAAGGGATAACGAAGGTTTCATATAAGAGGAAGGAACTATGTTAAAGGATTATGATATCCACACCCTACCCTTTATATAGGTTTCACAAATATTTTAACCAAATTCTAGAATACTCTTCATAAATACCCTGTTATTCACGAATCCATAATAATCTAAATTATTCTCGTCTTTTTCTATATGTCCAGTAGCTCTTATCTTTCTAAATTATAGTCCATTCTTAAAATATAATTATATAGAAGACTCTTAAGCACTAGATACGCACACGTGACATTGAACAAGAGAGTGAGCTTTGTGACACAAATGCTTGTTTAGAAGTTAACCAAATGTTTGTTAGTGACCTATTTTTTTGTGTTTATCAAATGTTTCTAGGAATTGTTTGAATCAGTACAATGTTAACTACATTGTATTATAGGTCAACATTAAGTGTTTGACTTCCAATTCCGATGTAATGAGTGACGTTGTGTTTTAATACAGTATATATTAGTCTTACAATCATATCAGAATTCCTGGACGACTTAGGTAAATTAATAAAGCTTTTAAACACCAATCCTAATAGAAATTTCACCACAAACTGTCTCACTAATAAGTAACATAAATGGGTCAACCTAACTAGTAACATATATGTATGTTTAAGAAAATTGTGTTCTAGGTTTAACAGTTTTATTATGAGAGTAATCGTACACCTAATTGTATATGCTTGGATTATAATTAACAGTTCCACCATTTTTGGACAAAAAGGTAATTTCACTCCACTCATGTCATATTAAACTATTTATCACTCTTGAGCACAAAATGTCTAAATAGTGCAGGTGAGTTCATTGTCAGATCAAATTCTTAAAATTTCCTGCTAATAATAACATCGACGGTTTTAGGTATACATCATCGACGGTTTTAGGTATACATCGCACACGTTATCTACAACCTTGAAATGATCAAGTTTTCGGTCTCTCAAAACCCAAAGAAAGATCTAAAACATCAAAACTATACTTTCATCGTCTCAAAATAAGTGTTTATTATTATTATTTTTTTATTAGTCTAATTTGAAAAGTCAATATACTTTTTTTTATAATATTATCAATTTAACCTTCTTAAAACTAATAAAAAGTGAACCATCGCATCACTTGAACTCATTAGGATAAATTTAATAAATTATTCACTATTAATATAATAAAAATTATTCTCTTAAAAAGTTGTGAACATTTATTTTGAGACCGAGAAAAAAAAAATTGTACAGAGAACAAAACGAAAAATTAGTCAGAAACAATAAGTACATGGGACTTTATATAATTGCAATGTAAATATGAGAATAAGCATATTTTAAAAAAATATACACAGAAAGCACGAAGTTATGCACACAGCATAATCTTCAAATATCATATGCCTTTATCATGCAGGCATTTTGATATAATATTTGCACATATTAAGATTATGCTGTGTACATGAACTTTGCGCTATATGTTTTTTTACATATTTTATCACTAGGTCTATTCAATGGGCTATCATTAAAAGTGCATGAATAATTGATACGTGTAATATATGAATTTGGGTTTGGTTGTACGCAAATTTCTCAGCCCAGTCCAATCTCAAATAAATTAAAGTTGGAACTTTAAAGTGTATAATCCACTCAATCATTAAAAAAATATCATCCAAGTCTGTGAAAATATTGTTAAATTAAACTGAAAATATAAGAAAGAGATTAAACACACATATAATAAGAACATAGATTTTACTTAGTTCACCCAAAAAATCAGGGCTACGTCTAAGGAGTTGCAAGAATTTCACTTTAATGATAAAAAATAACACCGAATACAGAATACAGAGAGTTCAGAATGAACATATGCCCTCGCACTAGGACAACATAACAAATGCAAAAATTACCAAAACACTCTCCAAAAAATTCAAGTCGAGAGTAAGCCTTTGCAAATTCGGATAGTTAAATCCACAAAATTGAGTCTTGGTATACAATATCCATCAAGTTCCACGCTACTCTAAAAAAAATAGGTTCAAATTCAAGTCGGCCTGCACTATTCCAAAAATGAGAGAAAAGGTCCTGTACTTTCGTTTATTTAGTTTTTTTTTTTTTTGGTTCACCATGGATAACCTCTTTTATTTTTATTTATTTATTATTATTATTTTTTGGTTATGTCAAATAGATAATTTATAGATACCTTTTTGTTGTTTGGATCCCAACAAATAGAATTATAGAATGTTAGTCGTGTAAATTTAAAAAATAATTATTTATGTGTGAAGTTTGAATTATAAGTGTGTTTTCTTTTAGATGCAATTGTAAAGTGGAGTACGTCTCCCTTACATTTTGTAGTGGGTCCCTATATTTTACTCTCTCTTCCCAACTCCCTCCACAGGATCGAATGGAGAAAAATATCTGTGTTGAGTGTAATCGTCAAAAAGACTGATGACAACAAAAATTAGGGCTTTTTATGTGAGAGTTGGGAAAATTGAAGGGAAATGCTGAACCAACTTAAAATACTGGGAGCGAAAACGTAGGCCTTGCATTTCCTATGAGCTGAAATGACTGAAATACCCCAATATTCTTCTGTTATCTTTGATTTCGGGCCATTGACATTAGTGGGCCACCTGGATTGGTCTATTTATATTGGTTTGGGCTGGACATTGGAAGAGAGCAATTCACATCAATAATTCTTAGAGAATAATATGTATCTTGCAAAAATAAGTAATGAAAGGATATTTCATAAGAAAATAAAATTTTATTTTTATAATGAATTTAACATTTAAAAAAAAAAAAATACATAACATTACTTTGCATAATTTTTAAAAATGGTCCATTTTAGTTAACATTTTTGTCAATTTTGAAACCAAAAACACATACACATTTTTTTTTAATTAGGATCACACATTAACACAGGACAAAAAGTGATTTTTTTTTTTTTATCCCAAAAACACGTTTAGTTATGGAGACTTGAAACCCTCAACTTTGAAAGGTGAGAAAGTGATGGTTGATCGGGGAATTTTTATATTAACCATGCACTTAGCCCATCTTTTAAATGCATGTCGTAATATTAATTTGTCACTGCATATTGAAAAAATTAATCATATTTCAAAAGTAAAATAAATCCGTCTGCTCATGTCACAAATAATAAGAAATCTTTGATCTCAAAAACGAACAACTGTAACCACGATGAGACAACTCTTTTTCATCTTGGATAGGTATGAAGTAATTCATTGAAGTAAGATATATGAAATGAAGGCAAAATAATTGAAACAAATAGTCTACACTTAAAAAATAAAAATAATAATTATAAAAAATAATAATCTACAATTGAGATCCTTGAGGCCGTCTTAATATTATATATATATATATTCTCAATAATTGTTGCAGGATGGGACTATGACCTACTCTAACAATATGCGTTTGTTTCCAACCATATTTTTAGCAACCATGATAGTTAATTGGAGAGCTAGTTTGGACATTTGGTGAGTGATTAGAAAAAACTACTAGAGGCTTATTGACGTTCATATAACTCAAGTAGAGAGTTCCTCCTATTCACTTTTATATATATATATATATATATATATATATATATATATATATATATTTATTATTATTATTATTGTTAGATAGGGATGTCAACGGGGCGGAGTTGGGATGGAGTTGGCTAAATTTTATTCCGCCCCATTAAAAAATTCGTCATACCAACTCCGAGACGGGTTTATAATTGGTATACCATCCCTGCCCCTACTGTGGTAGACAAAATATCTACTCCGCCCCGCATATTCCGTTTAATTGCGGTAAAATTGAAATTGTTGAATTAATTCCTGGACTTGGAATAGAATACTAAGATCTTGAATCCTTGATGATTGAATCACGTGTACAATTGTAAAATTTTAGTAAACAGTGATTCTAACGAATATTTAGTCAAAATATATTAATGGACACTTAAATTAAATATATACATTATATATATATATACACACACACAATCGGGGTCGGGGCGGGGCGGGGGCATCACTAAATCCGCCCTCGCCCCAAACCCGCTTCAGATTTTCAATTCTTTTACCATATCCGTCCAAAACCCATTCATGAAGCTACCAAATCCGTCCCATTAGGAACGGAGTGGGGCGTAAACCCAACAGGTTAGAGGAAATTGCCATCCTTATTGTTAGATATCAATCCCAGAGACATTATAAACCAATATTTATTTATAAATGTGTTACAAGTTAGTAAAAGGATATCATTCATTTAAAATAATAATAAGTTTCCTTAAATTAATAATCACCCTACCAAAACAAAATTGAGAGCAAGAGTAAAATAATTGAGAGCAAGTAGGGTAAAATATAGTCATAACAAATAGAGAGCAACTAGGGCAAAATCTAGTCATGGATGGTTAATGCTTCTACATAAGCAGGACGTCTCATATATGATGAATTACCTATGTTAAGACCTGTGAATGAACTATGTTATGGCTTATGATATGCGTTGTGTGAGAGCAAATGACTCTCTACCCTTTATATAAGTTTCCACTTTCCCACAACCTAAAAATTGTAGAACACTCCTCACATCTACGTACTTACTTAAAAAATCTATAATAAAAAAGAAATATATTTTTCTCCCACACTGTGGGACAACTTATGGTTTTAATCTATTCTAGACTGTAACGCATAATCTTATACAATTTTATATGAGTAAAGATATAAGTAAAGAAGACTCTAGGTGTATATTTTAATCTATTCTAGAATGTAACATATAATCTTATTCAATTCTATACAAGTATAGAAGACACTAAGCACTTGATACGCGCAGGATACATTAACATTTGTTGCATATTTGTTAGTAACCAAATTTTTAAGAATAGTTTATGCTCGAACTGGCCTATGTTATTGAATTACCACAAGCTCAACCTTCCTAGCTCAAGCCTAAACACAAACAAATAAAATTGCATGAATCAATGTCTTTTAACATAAAAAAATTGTAAATATTTGTACACGTGTAATTGATGTGTATATACTAAGTTGGATGGGTTTAGACAAATTTCTCAGTCCATTCCAATCCCGAAGAGGAAATTAGAGTCGGGAATTTTCAGTGTACAATCCACCCTATCTTTAAAAATTATCATCCAAGCATGTGAAAAGTCAAAAGTAGCCTCAAATTCAGACTACTCAAACTTCAACCATGCTTATGATCGCACTATATGGAGAAGTCATGCCTCTAGATGATTACATTCTGTCTATAACGTATAAAAACAGAACCTGTAGTATTATTTTCAGATGAAAATCCTGGCTTTAGGTTTAGAGAGTTGTCCCCCAATTGCTTTGTGTACACAAGATACATAAAAGACTCATTTAACTAGCTTAAGATGTACATAAAACAGCCTGTATCAGAAGTTATGCTTACAATTGCAATACAAGGTATAAATCTCAAGTCCGGTATCTCATTACATTTTGTAATCGGACCCTATATTTAACTCTCTCACCCCCCCTACTCCCACCACCCAATGGAATGGAGAAAAAGATTTGTCATGGTGAATTGGAATAAAGGATTCCTAGATTCCTATAGAGAATAACAAGACAAAGACGAGATATTCTGGCCTTCAAACAAATTATCGTGCAGCATTACCTGGGAGGCATCTCCAGGGCAAACCAACCGAATTTCCCTTTCCGGAAGTCCGTCAAGATTCGAAATGCTGCTTGATGAACATGACCATTGAACAATTGAAGCGCAAGCTTCTGAACAAATCTGCAGTTCATAAAATCACATTAGCTCCAACTCAAGTCCGGTTTGGAGTGGAATGAAAATGTCAAGGTGTCTGCATTGATAACAAATAGATTCCAAAAGAAAAATATGGAATCAGATCTTTGCAAGGGATGCGTTAATTTATATACTTCTACAGAATAAGTTGTCATTCCTTAAATAGTAGATTTTCCTGATATGCATTTTTGAATATTTTGTTTCCTAACCATCCTGTCAAGTCATAATTTTATTTAAAGTGAAGACTATGATGCAGGAAGCAACATATAATTAAAACTTGTCACTAGACTAATTGAAGCGCAAGCTTCCGAAAAAATCTATAATTCACAAATAATTAGTGATTTAGTGGTCATTTCTTGCATAATTGCTTTTTTTATTCAGATTTTAGAAATTTTCCTGACCATCTTGTCATGTCAAGTCACCTTTTTATTCGAAGTGAAGTCAATAATGCATCATGCAACACATAATTAAAACATACGTTTTACCACAGTGACCAGACATCTCAATCTTGTAGCGACCATAAAGAGCTTCTGTACCTGTTAATAAAGAAAAAGGGAAATCCCGTTAATACTGGCTCATGCTAGCATTTGAAGATCTCAGTTACAAGAAAAGTACACGATTATGAGCCACTGGTAAATGTGGCAACGAGCATGAAGACTAATATTCAACAATTATTTGGTAATAGCAAGTAGGTCTATTTGTGTAAATCAAAATTTTATGCAAGAGGACAGAAAAGAGACTGGCTCTTCTGCCTCTCCAGTTATAAATGACTTGCCACATCCTAGTATAAAGGGGAATTCCAGTCCTTTTACTAAGAAAGCAAGAGAAACTGGCCCACACTGAAATGCCAGCCCTGTCAGCATGGTATGACCAGCAGCGTAAAATGTGGAATGGGAAAAAGAAAGTACGTAATATGTAAAAATATAGTACGATTCTTTAAAAGTAAGACTAAAAATTCGGCATAAAAAAAACATAAATTGTAAAGAAATGCATATTTACGTATACAGGTTCAATACCGATGCTAATGAAAAATTTGTGGTGAAAAATTTGGTAGTATTTATATATTATTTGTTTAAGTATATTAAAATAATTATAATTTTTATACTGTTCTTTTATTTTTTTCCAATGATATTCCAATATTGATGAAATTAATAGTGTGATAAAATGAATTCATTGTCATAAGAATATTATAAAACATCCATAGAGTTGCATTATTTTTATTTTTTTTTTTTACTTACCAGAAAAAATAGTTCTTGTATTATTTATCTCAATTATTAATACATAGTTTTAACAAAGTGCATATAATTATGTAGTTGAATTAATTCATCATAGCATATAATATAACGCATAGATATATAATATTGTATGATAATAGTTATGACCCACGAGATATAAAACTATTAACTTTCTTACTGACCGGGAAAATGAAATGTTTACGTTAAGTGCCAATTATGTTACCATAATTGCACACTATTTTATAACTTATTTTTTTCTTCTAATAAAATGATTAAAGGCAATGTAATCTTTTTTTTTTAAATAATTATGTAAGTGAAGTAGTTTTGAGGATGTATAATGTAAAACATTTAATATGTGTACTATACGATTCAAAAAAAAAATAGGAGTATCATTTGTTAAGTCTGAAACTTATATGGACAAAGGAAGTTTATTTTTATATTATATATACATACATATATTATACGCGTATAACACGTGCTTATGCTAACCATGTTACAAACTATCATTTTCCTATTTACACATTTAGGGCCACGTATTTTTATTTTCTAATTCAAGACGTATGAACAAACACCATCAGGAAAGGACAAGGATGAGACCTTTATTATTCCTTGTCAATGAACGGCTCAGGCTCGGGCTCGGCTCATTAATTACTCGGCTCGAGCTCAAGCCGAATTATGAGGCTTGATTTATAAATGAGCCGAGTCTGAATATCAGTAGACTCGACCCCTTTGTTCATGAACCGTTCACGAACTGGGCTCGATAATGCGTTCACGAACACACTTGATTATAATATATATAGACATACTCAATTATAAAATATACAGAAGTATTCAACTTTTTCTATATATACAACTTTTTCTATATATTCATAATATATATATACACACACAAAAGTATTCAACTTTTTCTAACTTATGCCCATGTGATTCAAAGACTTTTTCGCATCAATCAATAAATTTATATAAATAAGTATTCAACTTTTTTAAAATCTGCCACCATGCCATCCTAGACTTCCTAGTCTAAAACTTGGAGTATTCAACTTTTCAAACCTGCGGCTAGCGTGCCACCAGTACCCATGTGATCCACACACCCTTTTTCTCATCAGCCGACATCCATCATAGTCTAGAACTTAGGTTGTCTTAGTCTGACTATCCACGTGATGCACTGATACACAATAAAATTGAAACCCACTCCTCACTCTTCAATTCTCATTTATAGATATCATATTCATGATTCATATTACTTTCTCAGTTTCTCTACTCACACAACTGGTTCGGTTGCTCGTTTTGCCCCACAACAACGCCGAACATCTTCTTTGTAAGTTGAATTTTTTTACTTCCTCACTTCTTTTATCTTCTCTCTCAAATATCTTTACATAAATTGGGTGTTTTTGCTTTTGAAAAGTTAGGATTTTATTTGTTTTGAAAACACAACTTATTCTTACTGATTTGTTGATTTTTTTTTGTTTTTATCTCTTCATCTATTGAACCTTTATGTATAAATTTAGGAGTTTTTTTTTCTTTGAGAGAGTTGGGGTTTCTTCTTTTTGAGAAAATTTGAAAGTATCTCTCATTTTCTTTATTAAATAGTCTGAAAATTCTTCTATTCATAGTTTCTCTTGTTTGGAATGAGTTTCAGGATGTTATACTTGCGGATGGTTCTTTGAAGGCAGAATGTGTCTATTGCAAAGCTCGACTCTCAAAAAATGACAAGGGTTCTACCACTCAAAAATTGAACGAGCTATCAAGCCGAGCTCGAACTTCATTAATAATGGACGAGCCAAGCTTGAGCACTACCAAATGAGCTTGAGCCGAGTTCGAGCACTATAGTTTCATGATTGAGCCGAGCTCAAACAAGACCTTACTCGGCTCGGCTCACTTGCAGCCCTACTTGTCATAATATGATAAGTCTCCTGCTAGACTATATGAGCAAATCTGTTCAGATTTTATCTTCAAGTGTAATGTATAATGTGATGTTTCGCACTATGAGAAAATTTCAACTAGTCCATACTCCATATGTTCTACCACGGCTCTCAAAGACCACAATACCTGGTGTGGTCCCAGTAAATCAAGGTTGTTGGGAGGAGTTAATTGTAGAAAGACCTAACCTTTGGTGTTATTTATACGAACTGATTACCCTCAAACTCTCACACTTTGTAGCACAAATTTTACCTTGAGTCTCAAAAGCTTCCAGTTCTGTAAAGCTAGTGTATATCACAATAGAAGTTATTTTTTAATTAATGAAAAGCTTAAGATCTTAAACTACAAAGTTCAAATGGAACATGGGTCACCGTATGCAAGATAAAATAGTGTTATTTACAAAGTTTTGACAATTGACTACAAATTTAAAATTCAGCCACTACAGAAGTGGAGCAGGTTGAACAAGAGTTATTGCCCCTTACAACTCAACAACAAAAAGGACTTTATCGTAATTAAGGTCTCGTCCAAATAAGTTTGATCATATTCTCTCATACCAACTAACATGAGGCCACATGTCCAAATATCTCAGCAGATTTACATATGAAGTTTTCCAATTATCATCACGCTCACCAACAGGCAATGGCCTAGCGGTACCAAGCCCCTACTTCTCAAAGAGAGGTCACGGGTTCGAGCCTCAGTGGAGGCATGTGTGTGTGAGTACCAATTAGAAAAAAAAAAAATTATCATCACGCTTTTCTTTAGAAAAAAAAAAAAAATTAGAATCCGGAAATTAACTGTGGAGATGGTCTCAACATGCTGAAATTTGCATAACAAGAAACAAGACTCAAACCACTTCTAGCATTTCAGTTAATTTAGGCCAGGACCAAAACCAAAGCTAAAGCAAGATTACCAACAGGCCAGTGGCCTAGCGATACCAAGCCCCTACTTCTCAAAGAGAGGTTAGGGTTTGGGCCTCAGTGGAGGCATGTGTGTGTGAGTACCAACTAGGAAAAAAAAAAGCTAAAGCAAGATTGACCTCTAGTCTTCCATTTATCTATTTATGATATGCACAAGTTCAATAACATGTTATTATTTGCTAGTTTCAAATACTTACCTATTAAACATAAACTAATTCTGAAACTGTTCCCTAACCAACAATGTTTCTTTGCAACAAATCTCCTACCTAGTTCCAAGAAACAACAAAACCAGTTAAAGAAAGAAAAGGTAACACACCTACTGCTGGAAGCCTTGAAAGGATCTGCACAAGAACGGCTGCAACATCAGCAACATTGTAGGATCTCTCTCCAATATCATCGCATATGGCAAGTTTTATTGCTGCAGACTGATCGCAGATCCGCATTGGGATTATTCCAGGGGAATCCAGTAACTCCAGATCTTTCCCAAATCGAACCCATCTTTTCCAAGATTAAAAAATAGGATACAGAAGTAAAGAAAAATGCACTGAAATAGTCAACAATTTTTTTTCATCTATACCTAGAGTAGAAAAATGAAGTTTTTTTCTTCAAACCCAGAAAGATATGAAATGCAAAACTCAATACCTATTCCCAGTGTATCTGATTTAATTTTGTGCCTCTTCCAAACTATATTTTAATATTTAAAAACTTTACCTTCTTTTAGATAAAATCATTCCTAACAGAATTCTGAAGAAATTTTGATTTCTTGGACTATCATCATTGTTATTAAAAGTAAAGATTTTAACTGAATGCTCTTATCGTTCCTTCTCTACTATAAAAAAATTAAGAAACAAGATTGATAAGACATACCTCAATTCCCTTGTAACACCTGGTCTTGGAGCCGCTGCACACATCCGGCGATTCAACAAACGGTTAATTAAAGATGATTTACCAACATTTGGATACCCAACTATTCCAGCTCGAACCTGTCAAATAGTGAAGGTAATCCTCAATTTTAGGCTTCATAACTATCATTGTAGTTTGTGAACGATGAAAACAATTCCCCCCCTTCCCCCACTTTTTTTTTCCTTTTAGGTGAAGGTAAATATGAGATAATAACTCCCATAACTCATTCTTAATTCTGTTTTTGTAACTCAGCCAAAAATGAATTTTCTTTCTAAAAAAAAAAATTAAAAAATCCAAAGTCTACTTAAATAATTATTTAGGAACGAGATCTCTAAAGTATAAATTGCGGATGATGTGGCCTTATATTACAAGACATGATTGCAAACATTTGTCTAATATGTAAGAACAAACAAATTTTTTGTTGCCTCCGAGACTACACAAAATGTAGTACACAAGAATATTTAAATGGCTTAGCATTTTTGTGTGAACACTCAATGCACATATGAAACTATACAACCAATGCAGGTATAAAAAAATTTAAGAACAAAAACGCAATGTACATTTGACTCTACGGCAATTCAATGCAGCTCATTTGACACCTTCAAGTGAAAAGCCAAGTAAGCAACCAAAGAGGCACCGTCAATAACTCCCAGCTAAAAGAAAGGTGAATCAATACACCATAGATCTGATAAACTTACTGGGCGAGGAAGTAGACCTTTTGCTTTGCGTTTTACATTCACACCAGCAGCTAATGCCTTTGCCAACCTGCTTAGCTTCATGGATCCCTGCAATTCCCAGAAGAAAGTTATCTCACTCTCTCTCATGCACACACGCAAACACTCACTGTGTGTGTAGAAAGGAAGGTTTAAACTATCAAAAATTAAAGAAAGGTATGTAGATAAGTACCATTCCAAGCTTGCCATTGGAAAAAACAACCTTTGTTCCCTGATTTGCATAATAAGTTGCCCAAGCATTCCGGTCTGCAGTGGATATCATATCTTCTCTATTCAGGACTAATATTCTTTTTCTATTGCCAAGCCATGAATCCATCTGCTCATATAAGTTCAAATTTTAAGCATAAGCAAATGAATGGAAGAGTTCAACAATACAAGTTTAGAACACCTCAGTCCCAAAAGTGGTGGACCATGGTGTTCAGGCAGCATGTTAAGACGTGCTTTTAATTGACTATCCACAAAAGACATTAAAAACTCCAAGGATTTACAATTTCTCCCGTGTACCCACAAAAATAAAGAACTAAGTACAAAAATTTCATCATCCCTATCAAGGACTCTACCCCATCAAAAGACATTTTAGGATAACACATGCAGAAGAATACTTTTTTTACCTAAATATAAGAGTAACTGTTTTACTATAATGACACGGGAATACCAAAATATCCACAGATGCACCCCAGTCAAGCTAATGCAGTCTAGGAAGCAACCTAGGTGTCACATTAGCTGGCCAGACTATACACTACCTGACTGAGGCTGTAACGGCATTGGTAGTCAGGTGTTAAATAAAGAATGCCCTGAGGTAGCCTATTGCATGAAGAGAAACAAAATGTTTCATGATTGTATACATTTCTAGTTTTAATGCTCTCTCTCTGATTTTCTTCTTTTGGATTCTTTTAGATTTCCATGTAACTTGCATGGCTCACTACCATGTAATGTTCGTTCTTAAAAAATTCAATTTGTCTAACATATAAACAGGGATACTAAAAGTATGCATTTCTACCTCTCATATGTTTGTCACTCGGTGTTTTCTTTCCAGCAGAAGAAACTAAGATACATTACACTATGTGCATAGAATTTTTCAACTAAAGGTGTAATTATATATCGAGCAAGAATAGAGGTATGTTTCTGCTGCCCAGTTACCAGGCCTACCACCAAGGCCACGCTTTTGAGAGGCCTATTTGCCCCAACATTGCCCAGAAGACACGACTGCATCACCATACACACACATCCAAACCCCCAAGGCAATAACAATATGAAATAGAAATTAACCTGTGGATGACTTGTGGACATAGGAATCCTTGCATCTCGCACCTCTATCACAACATCCATCAATTTCAGCTGTTCTTTGAGTTCTTTCTCTGTTTTTGCAATATGACCAGGATACCACTGTTCAGCCACCAGCCCAACAAGTATATAGGAGTAAGGATGACAATCCAGAAAATGACATTTCTCACTAAAATAGCACTAATACTTTTAGTTACAAAACCACACACCTTATTCATACCTGGACAGGGCGCAATGCTTTTGTCCAGTGATAAATATCAGCATCCAGATCGATCCAATCATTTTCTCCTTGGAAGATTTCAACTGTGCTGCTGGAATTGAAACTGCCATTTCCATTCAATCTTGGATTTTTTCCACCAACAATCTGTAATGTTTTGGGTCACAATTATGCTCTTCATTCAAATTTGTAGACAAAAACTTTTGATTAAACAAACTGAAAAAAGCTCCGCAATTTGAAATAATATTTGACTTTGTTGGAATTTTTTTTTTTTTTTTTTTTTTTTTCAGAAGCAAAGTTGCAAAAAAAAAAAAAAAAAAGAAAAGAAAAAAGGATGGGAGAGACTCTAGCTCCAACTTTAATTAATCTGAAGTGGGGCAAGTGACAACTCAAATCAACACCAGCTTCTTGATTAAACTATGGTTTTGTGAAGCATTTTTAAGCTTCATAAAACTATAATTGTAGCCGCATTTAGTCACTAACCCTCACTAATGGCCTGTTAGTACTAGTTTCTGAAAGTCACTGACCCCCACTAAAGGTCCTCCCTCCTCAACCTGCAATAACTCTAGTGAATATTGTTTGCCCAAATGAATTTCGGTAGCTTAAATTGTTCAGAAAATTTGATGATTCAACAATAATGTCCTCCTTCTTGACCGATTCCCAAAATTAAAGTCAGGTTTTTTTTAATCAAATTGATGAAATATCAAAATAGCTGAAATTTTGCAATCCTAGAAACCACATTTTCATGCCAGAATCATAGATAGAAACAAAAGGACCCAAACGATTTGCCTTTACGATAATCATTTATCAATATTCAGAGGTTAGGGCATCATTTCCTTATTCCGATTTACAGGTACTTCCAAACCATGGTTACAATGCCCAATGCATTTCTCTCAAATTAACATAGTTACTTACTGGACATACGTAGAAACAAACCTATATTTATCAGAAGAGCTACACACAACCCAAAAAGAAAATCTTATACTATCTTCCAACATATTCAGATAAGCATTTGTCCACTTAATATGAGATTTGGCGACCCCAATCGATTTTTCTGATTTAATTTTAATTAATTAAACACACCTGGATTGAATAGTACAACCTTGAGTTCGTGTATTGGGAAGTAAAAAAACTGAAATTTCAACCTCATATATCTCATTTATCTCATTATATTTAGGTCCTGAACAAGAACCAAGAAGCTCTACTCAGAAGAGCACGTTACAACTACTTTTAGGTCACGCGAGGAGAAAACTATAATCGATATAGAAACTTTCTTTCTCTCATTTTCTAGACAATCAAACGGAGTATAACTAGATAACACATTTAATACACCTATATATATATATATATATATATATAATTGTGTCTTGCCTGAATGGTGGTCGGAGACGAAAGAGGAGCAGACGCAGCGAGAGCCGTCGGCGAAGGTTTGGACCGTCTCTGAAGAAGAAAGTGTCCGGTAATTGTCGGGTCGGGAAGCGAGAGTCCGTAGAGCTGAACCGCCATTAGTAAATAGTTGGAAGTTCTCTCTCTCCTGTTTATTTTAGTTTGCCGATCGGATAAAAAATGATTGTTTCGGTCGCCACCGCTCTGATCTTGCCACGTCATGAAACGAGCTCATCAACAGTGGGTCTCAACTAATTGATAATGTTCTTAGATATTTATAGTTCAATACCACTTTTCTAAATACAATTTTGGGTAAAGTACATTGACACCCCCCGAGGTTTGGGGAAAGGACAAGCAGAGAAAAGTTAGCATATTTTTGGACAATGACACCCCTTCAAGTTTGAAAAATGGATAAAGAGACCCTGAAGATGGTGAATTGACCTTATTACCCTTTCAAATAAAATTAACATTTTAATTGACTTAAATACCCTTTGATTAAACCCAAACCCGAAACCAAACCCGAACCCGAACCCGCCTGCGTATATTATACAGTTCACCAGAGGAGAGAGAAGGGAGATCAGATGGATGGTGGTTGTGGCCGCGGTGGTGGGTGTAGAGAGAGGGGGAAGAGAGGGGCGGCCATAGTTGAAGAGATGAGGTAAAGAGGAGAGAGAGGAAGAAGCATCGGCAATGACTGCAACAGTGGGGTGGCGGCGATGACTGTGACAGTGGCAGCGAAACCCAGAAGCATCGGCGAAACCCTGAAATTGCCGGCGAGGACCAAGCTCCGATGACGATGCGGCCACGGACAGAATAGTGTGGCGAAGTTTAGAAACCGAGCAACAAGAGATCGATGAGCAAAAACAATCCGGCGAGGACCAAGCTCCGATGACGACAAGGTTCAGATAAGCACAGTCCGGCGACCGTCACCTGCAAGGCCGAGGAGGCTGAAGTGCCCATCGCTTCTGCCGTCCGTTTTAAGTCCAATTAGAGCCCTTCTCCATGCGAAGGTGAGAATTGGGGATGGTGATGTGCACAGATGAGGGGGTGATATATATGTGTGTGTGTGTGCGCGTGTGTATGAGAGAGAAGAGGGTGGTGGTGGCGGCGGCACCGATCTCATCCTCAAATCTTCCCTGCAGGCTCAAACATCAACTCTCTATCGCTGTCAAGAATGAAAAACGCCGGCGTGGGGAACGTCTCTGTCAATCCCGGTCAAACCCGGCTTGTCCAAGGCCGAGTTCGCCGCCCGAACCGAGGCTGCGAGGTCGAGGAGGTGGTAGTGGCAGAGCTCCTTTTTGGCGTCTTCTTTAGTGGGTGGTGATTATGGAGGTTGGGGGTTGGTGGAGATTGGGGGCGGTGGTGACTGGTTGTTGGTGTGTGTGTGTGTGTGTGTGTGTGTGTGTGTGTGTGTAAGTATATATGAAAAGGGTATTTTGGCCATTTAAGTTTTAAATATTTTATAATTAAAATTAATAAAATAGTGAAGGGTAAAATGGACTTTTCACTTGATTTAAGGCTCTGTTTGGAGGGCAAATTTCACAAGGGGGTGTGTTTGTCCAAAAACAAGCCAACTTTCATCTGTCTGTCCTTTCCTCAAACCTCAAGGGGTCTCTTTGTACTTTACCCTACAATTTTAAATGATTCAAAATATATAGTATATATTTAAAAAATTATAAAAGATAATTCCATAAATATAGATTTTTTAATTAAATTTTCAAAAGACAATTTTGAAAACTGTCTAACAAACATATTTTTTATGGTTTATAATTTTCAATTATAAGAAAATTCTTTACAAAACTGAACCAAACACACTTTTGGCAAAAGAAAATTTTTTATTATAGAAATGAAATGAAATTATTCAATAAAAATTACTAAATTTGCATTTAAAAGATACTGAAACTATAATCAAGAAATGAATACTTGAAAATACATATTTATGTATCTTCAAGTATTCATTTAAAAAAATCTTCCTTGTACCACTCAAATAAATTATGTAGTGATTATGATATATATATATGGAATAAGAAAATTTTTAATTTAAAGGGCAATCTTTAAATACATAAATAGTTAATCAAATAAGGGTTTATAAAATAAATTTACTAAAGCAATCACTTCATAGTGATGTTGACACACACACACACATACACACACACACACATATATATTTCTCATTTTATTAAGAACAAGAACTTCAAGATTTTCCAGAGCACACTTGTTTTTGAAGATTCAATTTCCAAATTTTGATTCTAAATGTGTTTTGCATGGGAGTAACAAGGAGCAAATGAATCAATCCATCACTTGAAATAGAACCATTTTGAATGAATGGAATGTTTAGCACGACAACTGAAATTATACAACTCGGAATATTCACAATGATGCCATCAAAAAGACCGTTCGAAGATGCCACCAATTCAAAAATAACTGCCACAAAAATCTGGAATTTGCATCAAGTGAGGAATTACAAAAAAAGCTTCCAGATCAATCCATTTGCCCAACCACGACGGGACTACAACTATCTGTACATTCAGTAAAACTGTGTCATACCAATCAATGGTGAAACCGAGACTAATCCACGACAAAACTAAGATCCAACAGTCTAAAGCCGCAAGTCAACTTGTACGGGCCTAGTAAGCAGTCTTCCAAAGTAATTACGTATCTCCGGCAAAGTTCGCTGAATCAGAAAAGGGTACCTGAATATCACCACAAGTTCATTTGATTAGTTAGAAGATCAAAACCGATAGAGAGAACGTATGGTACAATAGACAACCTGTTCATTTGTACAGATTCCTAATCAACTTAAAGACATCAATTATGTTAACTTGTGTCAAGAAATGCGTATGTATCCAAACAATAGCCAATTATGACGAGGCATGCCGGTTTTGGTTGGAGTGTAACGGGAGAGAGAGAGAGCAGCCAAAAGGAAGGAGATAACATACCATGGCATGGCACTCAATTTGTCAAACTTCTCCAAAATAAACAGGATGCACGCATGTCTTAATGACAAAGCATTGAAAGCCTCTGATAACTCGTACATGAGTGAAATGTTTTCCGCTGAAATATCCTTCAGATAGGTAATCAAGAAATCATCAGGAAAACTGGTGACGGATGTGAAAAAATAACAGTTCAACTAATTCCTTAACTCACCTGTGCAATGGCATACTCGCAGAGCCGCTTGAGCCCCTCCAAGAGATACTGATCGGCGGCTCTGAGAAGCTCCTGCGCAATATCCAAATTGACATCGACTGAACCAGTGTATATGTATCTGCCAAAATACGAGAAAAAAGAAAGGTATGGCGTCAATTTGACGACACATTACAATTTTTATTATACCAAATGAAATAGGACTGAAATTTGCACCTCATCATCAACTCAAAAACATTCCATCTAATATTAGGAATCTCTATATCTTTGGCATCCTTCTCCTGCAATGAATTTTTTTTCAGAATTTTCATAAAAAATAGAACAAATATCCATAAACAAGAATAAAAAAATTCAGCTGCGGCCTTTCCAAAATCGGGGTACAATATAAATACATGTGAGAATCAATTATCAGTTAGACCATCATAAAGCAGGGATATTTCTAACATTATTGAAGTTCGCATGCAGATGTAACTCCTAATATACTCCACAACAATCATTGATTTCCTAACAAGTTAAATAAATAAATAAAAAGAGGAATGGGAAAGAAGTGTGAATTGATGGCTGAAACCACAAAGACATGCCACAGGAGAAACAAAAAGCAAGATCCAATGGGTTGAATCCATACTCACCCTGTAACCACCATCAAACATTGCCCGAAATGCATCAGAAGAAGCAAGCAGACAAATTCTGTGGGCGTAGAACCGTTTACCTAATGAGTGAAATACATAACTGGTAAGCTACAGAAACACAACTATCAAAATAAAGAATGGTATGCATGAAAAAATATAATTGTTCAGAAGGGGGTACAAAATTCCACCTTCAATTAAAAATGTAACATCAGATAGAGTGGGATTGTTTACATATTGTTCACCCAAATATACCTGCAGCAAAAGATATGCAAAAATTAAGCATACTAAATGAAATAAAAATAGTTATGCTATATCAATAGCTTCAATGATAAAAGTCAAATTAGTAAAGTATCTGTACTGCCAAAAATGACAATGATAAAACCCATCAAAGATGCATTCACGTGAACAACAAAGATTTCAAATCTAAAGAAAAAGAACAAGATGACAAACTATGTCACTTCCATTAGAAGGAACATATGCTTACAAATAATGGAAGCATGAAATATATATAATATGAGAGGTGCATGTGTTATCAAAATATCATTCTTGAGATGCTTCCTAGGCACCGCAAACTCCCCTTAAAAGAACTTCCAGTGGCAATAAACAATGATAGGTTATGTATTGCACACTGTGAACTAACTAATGATATAAGCCAAAACTCCTAAAAAGTTTGGAACAAAAAAAATATGGATCAATTGCTGCATGTACGTCATGACCATCATGTGTATCCTCATTCCTCATGTATTATTAAATATTATTTATTAAAAAAAAAAAAAAAAAAAATTGGTGCATAAAAAGAGATTATATAATATATAAGCCACAGCACACAAGTACTGAACGCAACAAAAGTTTACACCGCAAGAATGTCCAACACTTAAAAATAAATATAACTTTGAGGTAAACAAAACCTGGAATAGCATCAGCTGATTAAAACATACTATCCTAACTGAAGGTTCAACATTGCAACAGTTCATATTCATTATAAAAAAAGTACCAAGAGATTAAAATATAGCTTCTAACTTCCTTGTCCTTGTTCAAATTAATTACTGTCAAAACACATCCAAAGTGTATGGGTGTATATTGGGGGTAGCTGCAGTTCCTACAATTTACATAATCAACATAAAAATACCCTCTAGGGCTGAAGCTAGAATTAAGGAATAATACATCCAACAACCATCAAAAACTGAAATAAAAGTAGATTGTTGCAACCCTTTCAGACATCAAATCAAGACAGACCTGTGGAGTTGGTGACGGAGGAGCTGCATCCACGGGAGACAGTAAAGTGGCCTTATTAGCCAACTTGTACAAAGCTGCTGAACCATCTCGTTGCTGCTTTAGGTTTGTTGATTCAAGAAGCTCCAAAAGCAACTCTAGTCCTTTAAGAAAATAATGTACATGTAGCAGCAAGGCTGTGAGATTTCAAGATCCCTGAATGAAATTGCTAAAATAAATCCTTAAACAAAAAGGTAAAACGTGGTCAGTGATGGAATGCGAACTTTTACCATTGCTATCAATAAAAATTGTTTTTTGATCATCGGGTGAACAAAGATGAGCAAGAGCCAAAGCAACTCTTATTTGAATACTCTTCTCTGCTGCTCGCATTAAGTACAACAAATGGCTCAACACCTGTCAAGAGAAAGCACTGAAGGGCTTGGTCAACAGGTAACACCTTTCTCATTAGTCATTACTCATTAGTGACTCCACTGAGCTCCAAAAGCTTAATGCCTGCATACTTTTAAACTTTAAATGTACATGTGCATGCAGTTTATTTGATGAAATTATGAGTTATTCATTTTGGCCCACACTTTATAGAACAGCATGATCTGAAAAAAGAAAGAGATTCTTTCTGTAATTTGAAACCCAACTAGACAATAAAACAGTGTAGGTTTCAGAAAATCAAAATATTTTCACTATTGTTTTGTATTCACATTCCAGTATCCTTCCTTGTGTATATATATTTTTTGAACTTAGAAAAAGGTATCATACATAATTCATTAAATGAAGTAAACCATTTTAATTTTCATTTAGCCCACACCACAAAGAGTGAATATATATGCCCTAACTAGTCAAGTAACCTTCTCTAATTTGAACCTCAAAAATTTAAGATATTGAGCTCTTTCTATATATATTTTTTTCCTTGGTTGGTACTCACACACACATGCCTCCACTAAGACTTGAACCCCTGACCTCCCTTTGGGAAGTAGGGGCCTGATACCAAGCTCTTTATAGTTATCTCAAAATTTTCTTATTGACTCCTATGTTACATGAACTCTTCAAAAGTAGTGAAGTACCAGTGTCAAACACATTTAATCATGATATCTTTACTGTTTCCTCAAATATTCACTAGTAGTCTTTACTTGAGGTAATAAGATAGATATTTGTGGGTGAATACAAGGACTAAAAGTCCAAAGATGCTAAAAACATAAAATTAAACAAGAAACAGAAAACTCACTCGTCCACGGATCTTTTCCTCTAATCTTTTTAATGTTTTGGCTACACAATCCCTAGTTGGCTGCAAATAAATCACCCAATTTATACAGTAAGAACAGTACAGAAAATGGAGTACTGAAATCTGTGCGGCAGAGTAAGTCGTGAACTCTCTAAAGCCACGACAAATAAATAGTTATAACATTAAGGATAATCTAGAAAGGACTATCAAAATAAAAAAATAAAATAAATAAAAAAAGGATTTTAAAAAATACTTGGACAATGAATTCTCCATCTTGAAGTTTCTGAACACCCCCAATACTGATAAGATCTGCAACATTGTCCTACAAAAGAAATTCTAGTAAGTTGCACTAGAACCACCAGATCAATGAATAAAGATAAAAACGGCACATAAAACTAAAATACAAATAATCATTTACCAAGTATCCAGGGGATTAAAAAAAAATACCTCATTATCTGCAAGGCCATAAAGAGTAAATGCAGCATTATGTTGCAGAGATCCATTTTTTGAATCGAGAAGTTTCAATAATGGAACAATACCACCACCATGGGCAATTCCAGCTTGGTTATGTGTATCCTGAAAATAAAAAGTTCTCAGCAAACTGGAAAAACACACCTCACAGAATTTACTACCAATTTAAAGGGAAAATATACACATTAAGATCTTTAAAGAACGAGATTAATAATAAGAAACTTGCCTTTAAGACACTTGCCATAGTTAAATTAACAAACATGACATTCTACAAAATCTTATCTCAAGGAATACTACACAAATGCATTCAAATGCTTTTGGTATTAAACATGCGTGGGGGAGATGGAATAGGAAAAAATAAAAAATTCAAGTAGCCTATTTATAACCTAAGTCTATTATACCACAAGGCAGCAAATTATACCATTATGGCACAGGCATGGTTACTTAAAACCTTGCCTATACTATTGCAGAACACAAGGGGTTAAAACAGTGGTTTGAAGCCAACTACAGAGAAATCTAAAATGCACACTCCACTAGATAATTAAATAATAATAACCTGTGCCAACCTCCCTAGTGCAAAAGCTGACATTTCCTTTAGCTGTGTATCTGGAGATTGAAGCATCTCAAGTAATGGTGGGACAGCACCTCTTTGAACAATGTGCACCTGCACAAACATCACCTCTATATGTAATCAAAGATATGTGATAATAAAACAGGAATGGGAGAATGGGCGAGGTGAACCAGCCAGCATGATACTTCTTGATGCTAAAAAGTTGATAATTTTAGCTTGACATACTGAGAAGGAAGAAACCTAGTTCAAAATATGGAATGAATATTTCAATCCACCTTGCAATCTGAATCAGTTGCAGCAAATTGCCCAAGTAATAAAGCTGCTTCCCTTTGGCTCTCTGAACAACAGGAACTGTAACAAAGTATAAAATAAAAAAATTAACAGGTTTTCAAAATTTGAGAGGAAAGATAAGGGGAGTGGGAAAGCAAATTGAGATTTGAATTTTGGTAAGATAACAGCATGCAGCAAAAAACTAACAAAGAGAAAAACTTTGCAAAACATAAGCGAGTGAACACTATCAAACTGAGCAAACGTTAAATGCAGTAGTACCTGAGTAATCCAATAACAGGCTGTAACGCTCCAGCGAGAAGAACTTCTTTCTTAATGTTTGGGGATGAGTGGACAAGATTACCAATCACACCAACCTGAGAAGCCCCTTTAAAGGTCAGCTAATGTGATTGGCAAGATGAAATGCAGAAGATAAGATGTGAATAACGGTTAGTAAAAGAGTTAAGAGCGCCAACCGCTTCATAATGTATGGCAGTATTCTCAGATCGAAGCATTAGAACAAGAGTAGGCAGAGCGTTGCATTCCACAATCTGTAAATTTTTAAATTTTAAAACATCAATTGTACTAAAACTGATAAATGAATTTAAAACCCTAAAGAATTACATCAAGCAGAAAAACCCCATCAACCTGATTTTTGTTTTCATCATTTTTAAAGGCAAGAGTTCGCAAGGCCCCTGCAGCTGCTCGCTGCACCTTCATATCAACGAACTCAAGCAATTCAACAAGGGGTGGGATGCCACCTTCAATCCTGAATGTGCAACCAAAATTTTAAAATAGAGCTATCATACTCGACATGAAATTCCGAAGGATTCAAATAAGCAAACCTAACACGGGTTTTAATGCTGCTGTTCTCGTGAGCAAGGTTAGTGATCGCATCAGCTGCTCTCCTGATAACACCATTGACTGCTCGGGAGTTTTGACCATCCTTGTGCCTTTTTAACAGATTCACAAGATGAGGCAAAGCTCCAGCATCCACTATGAGTTGCTGATGCTCCGGCTGTTCAACAAACAGGAGGCAGTTCACATAAGTAAAATGTCTGAATGGGCAGCTCCAAAATTGACAATTTAGTCAAGACAATGATTACAGCAATCACAAGAGATTTGCCTAATGGATAACCAAAAAAACCGTTGAAATAAATGCCTCCCACAATAATGAACATAGTAGATCCAAAACTACCCTTATCCAGCAAGAAATAACATGAGATCCATCAACCAGCCATTAATTATAACTCCCTTGTTCTTCTCAAATATGGTACTTCGCTAACTGCTTCGAATATTATTGTTGTTGAAATAGTAATCATACCAAAAATGGGATAGAAACAAAAGCAAAAAAAAAAAACCAATCTGTTTACTGCCAGAGTAACCAGGAAATCACTATTGTGCAATTAAAATTTTAAAATAGGGAATGAAACATAAGAAGTTATACCGTTGTGCCATTTATTAACCTCTTTAACTTAGAACCAAATGGTGGCTGACAGGCATACCTTTGATTAAAAATATAACTCTACCTGACAGGAGAAGTTGACATATTCAAAATCCAAAAATAATGTTAATGACTACTTACTACCTGTTCAATTCGATATCACACCACCATATCACATATAAAAATGAAATAACAGTTAATTAACTTCAGTGGATTAATACTCTCCAAACAACCTACAGTAGCATAATAACAGTTTTTGTATCTACAACAACAATTAAAAATATCCCCTTAAATATTTTTTTTTTCTTCCACCATCCGGCGGCAAACCTATCAATATCCTTAATCAAAAAGATTTACCAACAATTCAATAACGCTTGATGTCCTAACCACTTGCACAAACACCCCCAAAACACACACACATATAATATAAAACTACAAATTTATATAGGTTGAAAACATGTCTTCTAGTGGAATCAATTTTTCACAGTAATAGAATCTAAAGCAAGTATAACAACCCAGAAGGTTAATAAATGATCCCATAAATTAAGTATGCACAACAGAGTAGATAGAATCCAACATATAGTCACAAATTTAACTGTGATCTTAATATTAATCTTGACAAGTTTGAACTTCAAAAATCATCTTCGTGCCATACATTTTCTTATGATTCACATGCGGTGCATCACAGCCAGTACAAGAAATGAAAGAAACCCATCTTCAAACATGCAATCAAGTCTTTGTAAATAATCAAACAATTGTGTGCGACTATAAACACCAATCAACCAGATTTGCATAAATAAGTTCAATTAAAAACACTGCAGAAATTAAATATAAACGCCAAAAGAAAAAATTAGTACACAGCAATTACTTTTACGGCGAGGAGTCCAAGCGTGAAAGCGCTTCCTTTCTCGACCTCATGCTCATACGGCTTCGAACCACTGTCGCCTTCCCTCGACGGTGGCGGTTCTTGAAGATGCCTCACCAGAGCCGGAACTGCTCCGCAATCAACAATCAAATTTACAATTTCCTCTGCATGCACGCAAATCTATCAATTGAAACACAAGAACTGCACGACTTGCTGCTACGAATCACAAAAACGAAAGAGAGAGAGTGAAAATGAAATACGAAATTCGAGTGAAAGAAATGAGCAATTGTGTTACCGTTCTTGGCGAGTTCAGAGAGGACATGAATTGCGCGCTTGGAGGAGGCTCGATCTGCTTCGATCCACGAGAAAATGGAGTCGAGGACGTTCAGCTGCGTAGTAATCTCGCGAACAAGATGTTGATGAGCGTCAAGAGGTGAGAGAGAGACGATCTGGCGATCTTCCTCGAAGTCTTGTTCCAATTTTCGCTTCAAGTTCTTTCTCATGGAGGTAGTTTGCTGTTCATGGCGCTTCTGGTTCTCCATGAGAGAGAGACGATGAGTGGGAGAGAGGGTAGATTGGGGAAAAACAAAGCATATGCTTTTCACTTTTTTAGTATCACATATAAGTGTCGGTTTTAGATGGAGCGATATATTTCGGCTGAAATTTATGCCCGCCTATATACAAATTTTCCCAATAAATGCTATTGTGCGCTCCCGCTCTTAATTTTTATAAAATTAAATGCTATCTTATGCTATTTCAAATGTGAGGACTAGAAGTCGTATGTTTTGTTCTTGATTTACAACCGTATTCGTCCCGTTGGCTAGATCCGCGTATACAGACTTGCACTCACTGATTGACACGTGTATAAATTGCCTTAACACTACTCTTATTTTTTAAGAATGTTCAGCAATGTGCTACATGCCACAAATTTTTTAACGTCTTATAATCTTCCAACTTTTCCTACAATACTCCTCATTAATTTGAAAAACTCTAGAACTCCCCTCCCTACCCATGTCATGCAAAGTCCTCCTCAGTGCTCACATGTCACTTATGTGGTGGAACTTTCCTGCAAATTGGTGAGGCATGACATTCTCCCTTATCTAATTCATGGGATGATCTCGTCGTTGTTTCAACACTCGTCTGCAAACTCGTTTAGAAACCCCTTCCACTTGACGAAATACTCCTGTCATATGTCTCATTTGCATGTGAGTTGTCTTTGCAATTCCTCCCTTGCACGGGGTTTGTTGCTCGCAACATTCCTCCGTGCCCAACAACCAATGCCTTCGACGTGTAGCTCGGTCACCTTTGCTTGGCATGACTCCTTGTGACATTAGACTTGATGCTCCTCTTCATGCCCTCCACTGGCAAGGTGTATCAATCCTTTACCTGTTCCACCAAAATCAAAGTTATCCACATATCGTACATTATTCTCTTGGACTTCCCTTTTCTCCAGCATACTCCACGAGTACAGTGTACCTCTATGCTTGTACTCATTTTGACTCCAGCATTGCCACTGAGCACCATAGTTAACAGCAATGACTTTTTGCATGGCACAGTCTCGGCTCCCATGCCTACCCTTATGTTTCCATCATCTGATTGTTCAGTAATTAATAATAAACAAGCACATAATACAAATAAATAAATAATAAATAATCACTTAAAGAAAAACTAAATAATAATTAATAAATAAATCACATCTATAAATTCTTCAAAAACAATTTCAATGGAGTAATAATAATAACCTCCAAAATACAATTCAGGAATCCATATATCATGGACCCCTAAATAAATCTCATTATCTGAACTAAGTATATAAGTTCGAATCTAATATCGATAATAAAGGATAGTTGTCCTGCGTCGAGAAAAATATAAAAATAATGAAGAATTGTCTCTGATCAGTACGAACAACTTTTAAATCTGAAACTGACGTGGACTTAAAAAATATAATAATGATGGGTCAATTCCATGAGCAAGTCATCTCTACTACAACCTAATTAAAAATAATAATAATAACCGATAAACAATCCATCCCACGTAATAACTACATAGTCATACATATATACACACTAACAAAATTTCCTCTATGTATAAGGCAGCCTTAACCTGATAGAGAATATCATCTGAAAAATCACACACAAAGTGGTCAAAAGTCCCCTATACTACCAGGGCACGCCCACCAGTCACCTATACAATCTACTCGTTTCCGACAATATACGTCTCAGTCCTGACCACCGATCCTAAGACCTTAAGCTCGTATCAGGGTAAATACATATAAGTATAATATCATCAACAAAGCCATGACTAACAATGACACAACATAAACGAGTCTGAATTAATTAGTCAGCTAACTTCATTAACACATAGCCATATCAAACAATGACTTAAAATATCAAAGAGACTAGCTTATTAGTTATCTCAATAAGTCTATCACAAACACACATCAATCTCATCAATATCATATCTATCAACGGTACAACTTATAAGTACTGCCAAAGATAAATTGTTGAAGGCACTTCAAATAAAATATCAAGATATTGTGATTGTTTTACAAAGTATGTAAGTACCGATGGCAAATGATGAGGGAGAGTGGATGGGATTATTTAGTCAAAGTAAGGTTTGCACTTTTTATGTTTTCATCCAATGTTGTGCTAAAACTGTTGCTAAATGAATGAACACAATTTTGAGTATCTAATGTGAGGAGCTTAATTTTATATTGGTTAATTTTGATTTCAAGATGTGTCTGATGGAGTCGTATTTTTTTATTAATCTTCAGTCTTGATGTTGGAAGCAAAACAATAAATACAAACAATGTGCAGTCAATACTTCGATTCGACGAGAACATCATTTAGAGAATGTATGTTGAGTGAGAGGACACATTGAACTTCTATATTTGAAAGTTGGCGCAAGATTGCAATTAAGTTTTTGTGTAAAACTACAACATGGAGAAGTCAACCCGGTTGTAAAATTTCCAACTAGTTGCACTTGGTCTGAACAGGTTGTTTAAAGTATAATAATTATAATCTGTCAAAGTCCGACTAATCGCACTTTTTTCAAGCGGTCACGTTTCTAGGATTTCAAAAAAGAAAGTGTTATTTTAGTCAAATTGAATTGTCTTTTTTGTCAGATTTTTTAGGGACATTCTTGTACATTTTTGACTTGTTTTCTAAGTTGTAAATGGACTATTTAACATCTATAAATACTCTCTTTTTTTTTTTTTTTCTCATGATTAATTACAGAGTTTTGATATTAATATTTTTACAATTGGGAAACTGTCTGAGAGTATTTTTTCACAGAAAACTATTTCAATTATTCAGAATATTTTTTGAGAGCACACACTATCTATTTGAGTAAATTAGGATGTCATTTTCTATATGACCAGAGTTCAAATTTATTGAATATTCAATTGATTCCGTTTAAAAGCATGTGTTTTTACTTCATCGATCTAAATATTGCTGAAAAAAGGATTCAATCGTATCATGAAGGAGATATAGTGTTCGCAGAGCATTCGTGTTTTTCAAGCAAACTTTTTACAATAATTGGGGACTAAGCCTGAAGTTCGCAAGTAAGGGGACGATGTGTCACGAGTATAAGGCTTTCAATAACCAGTTATTGGTAAAGTGGATTGTTTCGCTCGAGACAACAGAGTCTTTGTAGTTTTTTTCTCGAAAAGGTTTCCATGCTAAAATCTCCCTTTATCACTTTCAAACTTTGCTTTATTTACTTGCTTTGTGTATTAATTTAATTTGAGTTTTAAAAAAAATTTAAAATAATAAAAAATCAGATAAAGGAACAAGTTTCACATATTCACCGGCTCTAAATTTTATTTTAAATCAAACCTTTTCGCCCACACTACGCAAAGCGCAACTCACATCTAAATACATAATGGATAGAGATGGAATTGTTCATGAATAAACCTCGATTCATTTTTGCAACTTTTATTAAAGTCATGATGAAATCTTTAATAAGGTTACTATTTACATTAACATGTTTTACTACTTTTCGATATGTTCAAATTATTGCTTAATTTTGTGCCATTTATTTATTTTTTATCCCGACCAATGACTATATTTTCCTGGAAATTAACTCCCACAATGTATTTGGAAAATGGTCAAATCTTCTACCTTCCACTTTAAAATAAGATGAAATATACTAAGTCCCGGTATGACTCCTACTAGACAAGTGGATTATTAAATCATATAAGTGAAGAAATGTTGATAATTTGAAGTGCTATAGCCTATAGTGATCTTTTTCTAACAATTATAGAATAAAAAAGAATTTGGACAACCTTAATGCTGCAAGAATGTAAATCAACTCCAGGCGCTGAAAATTTTCTGCTATGAACTTGTTGTAATGAATGACCCCTCACTAGACAAGCCCAAACATTGATAATTGGGCTCATTTATTATGGGCCCGTTTTTTCTCTGGGCTGTTTACACTTTTAATAGTTCACGGGCTGACCCATAACATCACTAAATTCTTGGCCCAGTGCAAAATAGTAATACAAAGTGATATTGTTATTGTGCTGTTGTACTTTAAATTAAACTTCAAAGCATTTGGTTTGATTGCAAGAGTTTGAACACGGTTTGAAAGGTCTCTAGGACTTGAAGGCCAGTATGCTAAAGAATAACCAACCAAACAAGGAATTCCGGTTGTCTCATGTACGTAGATGGGCCAGAATGTCACATGAAGATGCTGGGCCTACTAAGGTTGTGACGTTGTGTTATCTGTACTTATGAGTTATGGGCCACGTCCTCCGCAAGGTTCCATGAACTACTGAAAAGATGGATCTTTGGATTTACATTACAATACGAAAGAAGCGAAGGTGAGGTTAGGACCTTAACTAAAAAAAGGAGGAGGTTAGGAGGAGAAACGGGGCCATGATATTTTCAAATTTATGTGAGACTGTAGGTCGAACTTTCAAATGCGAGACATTTTGTTTTTGTGTGTGCGTGTGTGTGTGTGTTTCTTTTTTGCCCATTTTCTAAATTTGAGGCCTTAGCCCTAGGTGACCGCCTAGGCACAGGCAGTGGTCCCAACCAATCACTAGTTAATACGGTAAGTAAAAAAGAGTAGATATTGGGTGCGGCAGTCATACCAAGTCATTGGTATACTCCACCAATGAAAATCATCATTGTAATTAGTTGAGAGCCGTTTTTAAAAATAGATTGGACCAATTTCATAAAATAGTGTATTTCCATTGGTTGGGCTTGGTATGCCCAACGTACCGAATATCTTTTATAAAAAAAATCGAATAAAGTTGACATAAAGTCGACACATTTGCTTGCATGTCAACTAGTAATTGGTCCGGAACTATGTAATAATTTATTAATTAAGACTAGAAATAAACCAAAACACACAAAATTCGGGTTGACTTTATAAAAAATAAGATATTATGTGAACAATTGAGCAATTAAATACCTCTATCTCATTATAATGCATATAATTATTATTTTTTATTGTTCAAACAAAAATGTGAAAGATGACTACATTGAGCATTGTCCCCATGCAGACTTGAATTCTTGAATTTTTACTTAAAAAGAAAAAAAAAGAAATTACCACTGAGGCTCCATTTGTTTGAGCGTAAAATATTTTTTGTATTTTTTGGTAATTGGTTATTGTAAAATATTTACGAAGAAAAAATATATTAAA